ACAGTAATGTCGATAGCAAGGAAAGAGGATGGAGTGGTAGGAGGAGGACGAAGGCAGGAGGAGTTGAGGGAGATGCCAATATCGGCAGGGCGTTGGTTGGGGTAGCCCTGGTTGTCAAGGAGGGCCTGGGTTTCGCAGGTGACACCATCTTTGGATGGAGTGATGCCGGCAAGGGGGGCAAGGTGAGTGAGGACATGGTACACAGTGTCACGGATGCCATCACTTAGCCGTTTCTTGCTGTAGTGGGTGCATTGAAGGAAGTGGTCACCGTAGGGGTCTAAAAGTACCCGTTTGCAATGGTGGCAAGGTTGGTTGGAGATGGCTGGGGGGAGGATGGCTAGTCTGAGTTTGCGTTGGTAGAGGAGCTGGAAGATGTCATTGGAGAGTCGGTTGTGAGGGAATCGGCGGTTGTAGGATCGGAGGGGGATGGCAGTGTAGTGGGAGAGGATGGAGGGGAAGATGGCAGTGGTGGAGGGAGGAGCGGTAGAGAGGAATGAGTCAAGGTGTAGGCGGGTAGTTTTGGTGTAGACGGCAGAGGCCAGGCCTTGGAGGTTGCCATCAGTGACGAATGTACTGGGGGAGAGGGGGGGGTTCAGAGTGGTGGGATGGGAGGGAATGGTAGTGGGGAAGGAAGTGGGGCAGGAGGGTGTTGAAGAGTTGGAAGAGGGGGACAGTTGTAGATGGACGTTGCCAGGATGCAAGGGTGCGGTAAGGTTTTGCGGGTTGCGGGGTTGAGATCGCGGCTTTTTGTTTGGATTTAGTCATGAAAATGAGTGACTCAGTCGCGAAAACGACGTCACATGGATCCATAAATCAACAGTGGCAGTGCACATAAAACTTTTGATGCAATACATACATGTTGAGGGCCAATCGGTTGCTTTTTGTGTTGGCTACCGGTACAGTACAGTACCAGTAGCTACCAATGCATGTACCACAAGTTTATGAGACTGGCTAGCTAGGACCTCCTCAAAGTACGCACCGGTAGCACTCATGATTCGGGATCAGAAACCAGCACAGCCTCATCAGTACCATGGTACCCTCGGTCATCTCCAGACCCCACACCAGGAAGTACCTGGTACTCCCTGCTTGAACCAGGCCACACACCTGGTTCCACACTCAATCTAGGCCCCTCAGCAGGTCCTGCTCTTTGACTTACCCCTTGTCCACCTACAGCAGGCAGGCCCATCACCTGACCATTTCGCTGCACATCAGTACCGGTACCTACCCCTGGTCCATGATCGGGTGACTTCTGGTCCCAAACCAGTACCAAGCCCTGGTCTACTATCCCCATGCCAAACAACATCTCCATCACACATACATCATCACATGGACCGCTCCAGCGCTCCAGCGCCAACTCTTGGTCACCCGGAAGCTAGAGGGCGTGATGAAAAACTGACGGCCAAAGCCTCTTTCTGCGACTTAGGAGCTGCTTCCGTTAAGATTACGGTGATTAGGACTGCATCTGCTCTAAGTATCGTAACGAGACGCTGATAGACGGAGCTGCTCCACAACTTCAACTGAACACCATCATCTTTCAACTGAAACCAATTTTTGTGCTCCGCATTTGCTGCCAACTCGACCAAACGGATATCAGGATTGTCAGCAAGTGGTTTATGGGTACCACCCGTAAATTTAAGCTGAGCGTCGAAGCCATTTATTCTGTGAGCTTTTATTGTTGTTGTTGGGGGTTGTATGCTCTGTCGAAACGACAACGGAATGACTAGCTTTGCCATCATGGCCTACGAAAGGAGGAAGCGAGGGAAGCAAGCTGAGAGACGGGAACGGGAAACATCGTCGCCCTTGACGATTCTCCATGCGGACGATGATTCGGTAGAAGTGAACGTGGCTCCTGATCCGAGGACCGGCGATTTATTCTTTGCTGCTGTCAAGGCCAAGGAGAGGGAATTGCTATACCAAAAGCTAGTTTTGGAAGGGTGCCAAAGGGAATTGAACGAGTTGAAGGAACGGCTAGAGGTGGAGACTGACCCTGAAGGACGAGAAGTATTGGTCGAAACCGCAAGGAAATTTGCAATTGCCTTTCACGGGAAAAAGGCCCAATTCCTCTCCTCGTACAGTGACTGGAGGTCCTCCATGCTAAAATGTGATCATGATGTCTTGCGGCAGCAGACATCTGACAAGGGACGCAAGGGGTAAGCCACTTTACTTTTCATGTGAGCAGATAACTCCTGGGAAAACTGCATTCGTAGAGAGCGAATCCAAACAGTTTTCGACCTCCATCCATCCAAACACTAAGCATCCACTGAATTCATAACTCCATCTTCCGAGGATACCATACCGATAGAAACAACTTATTGGGTAAGTTGTCTTTTATAAACACGAACATGCATCGACTGGAACTCTCCAGCAGCTTCAAAAGTCGCACATATTCCAGCATGTAAATATATAACTACATACCGTACAGTTGCACGCGTATCCCAGCAAAGGCCCTCATGAAAGCACGGACACCAACATGTACAGTACGTGTATTATAATTATCAGTAGCTGGGTAACAACTAACAAACCTTACAGTAGAAAAGAAAAACACCTGAGTCACTCAGAAACCACCATGAAATTTGCTCTTGAGATCCTTGTTGGCACCTCCCAGAACCATGTTCAAGGCATTCTTGTCCACGCGCCTTCCAGAATCCAAATCTTTGTCCCGATTCCAATTCCATTGTCCATTTGTGCCTCCCCCAGCTGCTGCAGCCTGTCGTTCTTTTTCTTTATTCAAACGATGCTGTTCCACCAGTGTGGGGCCTCGTGCATCCGTATGCGCCTGGATAATGGCATTCATTTCGGCTTGGATCTTTGGGTCGACATACTCTTGTTCATCGTCGCGCTCTGCTTTACTCTTGGCCGCAAAGGTTCGACTCTTCATGGGATTGCCTGCCTTGATGGATGAGAGGAAATCGAATTTGCCTGGCACCAGCATCCATTCTTCACGTTGATTGGGATCGGTCGACATGAGTTCGTCGACCCCCGTGACAGCCCCTCGTAATTGTCGTGCTCTCAGTTCGGCTTGTCGCTTAATATCTTCCTTGGACATGACGGCCGTATCGTTTCGTTTGGCCAATATGTCTCCCACTTGCACGGGTCCTTCCTCGTCGTCGCTGCTTTCTTCGGGAGGAGCTTGATACCCTGCCGGCATGCGCATGGGTCCCTTTTGCAATTTTGGTATGGTTGTATTTGGATTCGCGGCCATGGTTTCACAGGCCTTCATAACAGACAAAAGCTTGGCTTTGACTTGATTTTGTTGTTCCAATGTCTCGGGTAAACCATATCCCATTTCTTTGTTGTTATCAGAATTGTCGTTGTCACCGTCCTCGTCGTTGTCGGAATCTGGCTCCATTTCGCACAATTCCAGGCCACATTGCTGAAACAAGCCTTCCAGCGCCGTGCGTAGTTTGGGATCCGGCAATCCATCCAAAGCAATGCTTTCTCCTTCTAGAATCATGTTGCAGAGGCCACCCAGCTCTCCGGGTAACGTCGAAGGCGGTTTGCTGTCGTTGTCCTCTTTGTTGTTGTTTTGTGACGATTGGAAGGACTGCAACATTTTCATAGTGTCTTGTTTGATGTGGATCAGATCGGATTCCTGATCTTGTTGTTGGGTCTTGGCCGGTGGCTTCTTTTCTTCTTGTGAATCAGCGTCTAGTTCTTTTTGTTTTTGTTGTTTTGGCGGTTGCTGTTTCTGTTGGTGATGTTTCTCAATGGCTTCCATAGTGAACCCAATTTCATTGAGCAATGTTCGAACAATTCGAAGCAAGAGTCGTTCATCCTTACTCTTGGCACCGGGTGGCCATTTCCACATTCGAGTGTCTTCTTCTTGCGTGACTCCAAACGGTTCGAGTGCTTTCAAGACGAGTTGAATTCCGGCGGCGGCACTTTGATCTGGCATTTGTCTCAAATCCAACGAGGTTCCTCCTCCCAATTTGATCAACACCAGTGGCAGCGTATCCACTGCCATGGCAGGAGTCGGGTGATCCGTCAAGAGTTGATGTAGGGCATCTGCCAAGACGTAGTTGCGCGCCAATTTTTCGTTGTTGTCATTTCCAGTTGCTGATTGTGGTTGTTGTCGACTCTCCTCCTCACTACCACTGTCCCCTCGCTTGTGTTTCTTTTTCTTGCGATCTTTCTTGTCATGCTTTTTCTTGTGTTTTTTCTCGTGTTTCTTTCGTTTCTTCTTGCTATCTTTTCGAGACGATGATGAATCGTCGTCACTGGAAGGTTTTCGTTGTTTAGATTTCTTGCGCTCTCGACGTTTCTTCTTGGAGCGACTGTCGTCCTCATCGTCATCGTCACCGTCTCGTCGGCTGCGCTTTCGAGAATCCTTTCGTTTCGACTTGTGCCGTCGCCTGTCATCCTCTCGACTACTGGTAGACTTGTCGTCGTCGTCATCGTCATCCTTGGACCGTCGTCGATCTCCTCGTCCCATCTTTGGTGGCTTGTGTCGGCTGTCTCTATATTTTCAGGTTGGAAGGTCGATGGAGATTGGGAGTTGTGTCGCATGTCACAAGTGTTTTGAGTTTGTTGAGGGGTTGCTGGGAGCCCAGGAATGAGCGAAACGCCTGATTCAGTCACGCACATGACGTCCAACTCTGGAGGAAAGATCCAGGATCCAGATCGCCACGACACGACTGACACCAAACAGCTCTCACACAATCTTCTTCACGGCGGCCGTGGCCATCACAAAGTAATACGAAGCAAGCAATCACTAAGGAAAATGAACAGCCCGGAAGAAACCAACAACAATGGCGAGTATATCCTGAGCCGCTTCAAGGCAATCCTCCAGGAATGTCTGGCGGCATCAGCTGATTGCGAGAATTGCAAGGAAGAATCCTTGGACGAATGGGCCAAGCTCATCTATCAGTCCATGACCACAAAGGCCAGAGTGTACCATGATGTAGAGCATGTCTTGGAAGTATTGCAATACTATCAACAGGAATGCTCGGTACACCAAGAAACGCCAGATCCAATCTCCAAGTTGGCCATTCTCTTTCATGATGTCATTTACATCTCTCTCGACAAACAACTCTCGCCCCCACAAACCGCACTATTGCAAGACATTGTACGACAAGACACCACTACAAGAAATGACAACGTTCCTCTCATCACGTTGCTGCCCCCTCCAACGCCTCGCATTGCCATGGTCTACGCGATCTTTGACATTGCAGCACCTTCCCAGCGGTCCATAACAGCGCCAGGCACCAACGAACTTCTTTCCGCCTTGGTTGCCGTACAAACGCTACAAAGTGTCTTGACACCTCCACAATTGCTGCAGATGGTCGTGGCCATTGAAGCCACCATTCCCTTTCGACCACCCGCGGCTATCGATGCATTGTTCCAACGAACTCGGCAACAATCCTCTGCAGAAGGCAGTACCAACCCCGATGCCGCCGCCAGAACGGCACTCCACCAAGCCATGCGTGTGGCATACAGTGACTTGGGGGTCTTCGCCAACGAGGATATCACTGCATTTATCGATTCTAACTGGCGGCTCTTGCCGGAGTGGTTTCCCATATTACAAAGCCAAAATAGTGCCACAGTGGCAGACTTGTCAGCAGCACTGGCATCGGTACGACAACGACCCATGGATACCACGGTGATCTTTCCATCCTTCGATGAGCAAACAGTAGAGGGAAAACAACGGCAAGCAACTGTCAATCTACAAGTGCTACGAGATTACATGTCCGTTCGAGAATTGACAATCCACATGATACTGGACCTTCTCGCCGAACAACTCAACAACAAGAACCAAGACAATCATGCAAGTGGATCACAAGAGACGATTCCGATTGGAAAGTGGAATGACATGATGGCACGAATCGTTCCAGCGCTGCCAAACTACGCGGATGATGATGCCACCAAAAGCCCAGATGATAATGACGTCCATGCGCAACTTTTGCTCAGGGTACTCGGAAACGGGCGGCGCGTTGCCTATCCATGGGACGCCAAAGCATCTCCACTCGGTGCGGCGCTCTTTCAGGAATTGGACTTGTCCTCGTTCAAGGTGTCGCAATTACTCGAAGAGCGACGGTCCAAGAAAGACAACAATTGTACTGCTGGCTGGCTGGACTTGCTGCCGGGCAAACTTATGGAAATCACGAGGAGTGCGATAGTATAGCCCAGCGCCGTGATTGCACTGGGCACTGCTGGACCAACACCATGGCCTATCCACGAGAAGGAAAAGCCGGAACAGCACACATTGTATTGTGGCCTAACGGTATAAAAAGGCTATGGCTATGAAACACAGCTCTGCTTGCCAATAAAGACAACACAACGCGGCGGAGGTACGTAGCCAACATTCACGTTGCGGATTTCTGCCGTACTGTACTCGCTCTATTGAACAAATGACAGGGTAACTCTTTTATATATTTCTTAAAATTGATAAATTCCTGGGATTTGATGATGGACTTTATTATGTGCTATTATTTGATTTTATACCAACTAAAAATGAACGGAGCCCAAGCTGGTTGGAATTCTAAAAATTTGTGTCCTTGTCTCTTTTACACAAGCTGAAGGCTGGGAACATTCTTGTCCCGCAACGTAGGAAAACGGGCCAGGACTGGTCGATGATGAAGTGCGGGTGGAGGAGGGATACAGAAGGAATCCGAGTGACGCCTTCCTCGGTTTGTCTTTGTCTTGGAGGAGACTTTTGTCTTGAGTTTGGTTGGTGACAGCTTCTTGGTCTTTGCTATTGTTGTGGTTGCCGCTTTTTCTCCGCCCTTGTCTAGTGTATTGCAACGAACTACCACTGGCGCAACCGTTTCTTGGGGTAGTTCTTCGACGTGTTGTTGCTCCGTTGACGCAGCCGCCGCAATCTTCCCGGCAAGACGATTCACAAGGGACTCATTCGAAGCCATACGAGAACCTGGCAGATTGTTGTTTCCATTCTGATCATGCCCTTCCAATGTAATGGCATCCAATGATGCTCGTAGAGCCTTGATATCCTTTGGCTTGTTGGTGTAGGTCCTTTTGCGATAGTGAGAACTGTAACCTTGTGCCAGAGGCCAGTATTGCACCACGGATTGCAACAAGGTCAGACAGAGCAAACATTGTTCTTGTTTCTCCACCAGCGACTGCGCATATGCCAATGCTGTGGATGTGGAAATTGTAGTTCTTGTGGAATCGTCGTGGCTACTACTACCGGTACTACTACTAGAAAAAGACGAGCTATAGCGTTCGTGTCGTTGTTGTTGTTGATTGTGAAAATGAAACAATTCTTCCTTTCCGCTGGTCAAGACCGAATCGACATCTTCCTGTGCCGATTTGACACCATATTTGGCGGCCTCCAAAGCATTGAAATCCTTATTCTCGGTAGGACTGCCACGGAGAGTGGGATCGGCTCCCTGACGAAGCAAGTATTCCACGACATTGGCATGGCCATTCATAGCTGCCAGAGCCAGAGGCGTCAGGTCATACCAACCCTTGTGATTGGCTGTTCGCATGTTTTTGTTGCTGCAGTTGCTACTCACGGATTTTACTACTAGCTCTGCACTTCGCAGTCGAGCGTGATTCAGTAGACGACAACGATCCTCGTCTGTCCTTTGCGATGCCAAGAGAGAAATAATCTTGGCAAAGTTTCCTTCCTCTGCAGCCTTGTTGAATGATCTCATTTCATCCTCCTGCGTCTTTTGGTAAAACTTGAGAGCAAAGCTGAGCATCTGATTCTTGTGGCTCTTCTTGCTGTTGCCAATGCAATGAAGTGCCTTTCGTGCCTCCACCAACGGCGTGTTTTCTCCGACTAGAGTTGCCGGTAGCGACGGCTGCTGCTGTAAGCTGCTGCTAGTATGAGCTTTTATATCATTCATTGCTTTGATTTTTGGTTTGTTTACAACGAGGATCATGGGATCGGATGAGTACGATCACTAGCTACGGTAACTGGCTATCGTGTAACAGCACAACACAGGAAAACCAACATTCGTATGAAACAAACACGAAAATGAGCGATTTTGTGGATGGCCATGAGAAAGTGAGCCTTGTTTACTGGCCTGCGTGCGTAAATAAGGGGTGCGCTCGCACCTTTTCCTCCGTTGACTTGTGGTTCGCAACTTATTTGAAATCGGGGATGGAAAGTGGCTATGTGGGAGCTCATACCGTACGGGTCATTGGTGACAAGATGATGACCGGCTGATGACGCAAGATGTTTCTGAATGATGGAATTGCCTTTTTTAATTAGGGGAGAAGACCAAGTCGAGTACTGGAAACTGGAAGTGTTGACGTGGAGGAATCACTTTATCAAGACACATACCAGACTAAGACTTGTTCTGTGACCGAAGACATACTAGTATTAATGGCCCTTCGAGTTTTTCACACTATCCTTGTTTAGTACTGTACATTTTCTCAACTTTTAAAACACACTCACCAATATTAATTCCTATTTGCCATTCACTGGAAGTCTGGATGTCTGGTTTCTGGATTGGATTCTTTTTGCGTTAAAGGCTTCGCTTCACGTTTTGCTCACCCAGTCAATCTACAGCCTCGATGAACCTTCAATCTGCGTGGTGGTTGCCGTGGTTGCCACTGAAGATCCCAACATCCCAACAAAGCTCCCACCTTTTCCTGTAATAGTCTTGGGATTTGGCTGTTAATGGCTCTGCAATAACTACTGTAATTCTGAGAATCTAACGAGTGGACAGGGAATATTGTCAGTGACCGACGCGTCGAAACCATCGCAAATAAATAGTATCCCTTCTCCACTTGGCCAGTTCACAATGTGCTGACTATGCTCACAGAAGGAGCTAGCTAGCTACTGCTAACACTAGAGGTAAAGAGCTACAATACAGAATCGAAAACCATGGAACCCTCCTCCTCCTCATCCTCTTCTTCAGCCAATAACGCTGTTGGTGGCAATGATCTAGACTCCAAACGCCCTCCTCCTCTTGTGATCCCAACCTCCTCCTCTACTTCATCAAAGGTTGCACCCGAAATGGCCGCCAAAGCATCGGAATGGGACTCCAAGGCAGTCGCAGTACGTGGTCGTCAAGCGGGCACTCGTGTTCCCGCCTCGTCATACCTCCATGACGAAAAGGCAGCGATAGACCTTCAGGCAAAGGCAGCCGCAATGTTGGTCTTGGACCATAGTAGTCAAGGAGACCATAGTCAAGCAGCTGTTGATGAAGAAGCAGCTACCAAGGTGGGCAGCGCTGAACGGAGAGCTACAAGGACGCAGGAGAAGCGACCACAGAGATTGTCATCGGGGAAAGAAGCCTTTAGATCCATGCCATTGGCGGCAAAAAAAGATGAATCAGAGCGTGTGGCCATGACGAGCACGGGAAGCCAGCCATTGACTTCCGAAGAAGTCCAACGCACAGTCTTGCGACGAGTGCAGATTTGTCAGATGTCACGGTTGCCGGGAGCCTTTCGAGTGGCAGGGATTGGGGGGATCGATGCTGACGACCGAACCGTATCCAAGCCATTCAGTGTGGACGACTCATTCAGTTCTGGCTACCTGGGCGATCCTCTACATGCTTCCCTGGTGTTTGATGTCGAAAATGGTGCAACTCAAGCTGGTACCGGTACCATTGCTCTCGAAGATGTTCTAGAGGTACCGGCAGAGACACTACCAGACCAAGAAAGCGACGACGCTGACACTAAACTCTTTTCCAGGAAGTTCCTAATGCTGCTCAAGGTCGTGAGCTTGTTGTGGGTCGTTGCCTTCACCATTGGCCTGCTGATGATGAACCACAAGAGTTTCTCATCTTCACCCCTGGACGAAGACCATCTTGGCATGCGTGATAGTGTCAATGAGCAAACGAATGATAAACAGGAGGAAACAGACTTGCACTATCTACCATTCGATGAAGACCTCCCAACTGCCACTATCGAGAAGATCCAAGGAGACACCTCCAGTCCTCAGTACAAGGCAAATGCTTGGTTGTCACAAGATCCCTCTTTCCAGTTGTACTCTCCGTTTCGAAAGCAACAGAGATTTGCCATGGCAGTCCACTACTTTGCAACCGGTGGCGAAACCTGGTTACGCAACGATGACTGGCTGTCATATAACGTATCAGAGTGCCACTGGTACAGCCGCACGAGAAACGAGTCAACATCATCGTCCAATTGTGACGAGCAAGGCAGGGTGATCCTCCAAGAGCTTTCCGAGAACAACTTGAGCGGGTTGATGGAGCAAGAAGCTCAGCTACCAAATTTGCGCAGGATTGACTATTCGAGTAATGGACTCCATGGCATGCTTCCAGTCTTCTCACCAGGCGAACTCTGCCTCCGTGAGTTTATCCTCTCAAATAACAGGTTGGCAGGACCTATACGGGTCAGCGCTGGCATGACGGCCCCCAAGCTCCGGGTTGTTAAGCTGGACGGAAACCAGTTCGAAGGCAACATCCATGTGGCACTTCCATTGTTTCCTAAACTGGAAGTCTGGAATGTGACGGACAACAAGTTTGAAGGCACTGTACCATCTGAGGTCCAGAACACGCCCAACCTGACGTACCTTGGCTTGGGGCACAACCACTTCTATGGAAGTGTGCCTTCGGAATTAGGGCTCTTGAGCTCGCTCCAAAATCTTGACTTGTCTGGAAATCAAGGCGTCACTGGGGCGCTTCCAGCGGAGCTAGCTCACATCAGCTCCACGTTGGAGGTCTTGGACATTAGTGGCACGAGCGTCACCGGTGAGATCCCCGAGGAGCTCTGTCTCCGACAAAAAGCAGGCGACCTCGTGATCACAGCCAACTGCAGCCTTGTGAGGTGCTGCGAATAAAGTATACATCACAAATTTGATCCATAGGTAGAAACACCTTAGACATCCAGTTTTGACAAAGCTCGTACTCGTACTTTGCACCTGAGTCGTTGCCAGCTAGCTGCCAGTTGTCCCACGCTTCTTACCTTCTCGTCCCTTTGTTCCGGCTATTGCTCTAAAAGTGCTTTGACCGTTTCCACCACAGCCTGTTGTAGATTGCCTCCTCCAGCCATGTGCCGCAGCTGGTACCCGCCTTCCAATCCCAATAAAAATGCCACTGACTTTTTTCCAGAGGACTCCTTGATCTTGCCCATCAACGAACGAGTCATGCGTCCATAGTCTGCAGCGTTCAGGCTGACGCTGGCCAGCTCATCGCTGTCGAGCGCATCGTATCCCGCACAGACAATGACCAGATCTGGTTGATGGTCACTAGCAAACAAGAAGTTCAAGGCCTCCTCGAGGTAGGTTTCATATCCACACCTCCAAGTTGTCTCTGCGGCCATTGGAATGGTCAAAGTGTTGCCTCTAATCTCTCGTTTCGTCCCCATGTATGGAAAAGCTGGATGGGGAAATGAGGAAGGAGAACAAAAAGTAGTTTTCAAAGCGATCCAAAAAGCCGAAACTCGACTTACCCGGGGATTGGTGGATGGAAGCGTACCGAATAGTGTCCGGATACTTGGAGACAATGTCGGCTACTCCTTGTCCATAGTGCACATCCCAATCCAAGATGGATATCTTGGCAGTGGTGGAAAGTTGCTGATAGTGGTATGCAGCCGCAGCTGCAAAATTGAAGAGACAAAACCCGTTGGACATGCCATGAGTTGCGTGATGTCCTGGAGGTCTGGTCAGTGCCATGGCTGTAGGATGCCTGAGTGAACCGTTGGACTTGGCGGATGCTGGGATTGACGTTTCAGTGGTGCCTCCATCACGATTCTGCTTCTGCTGTTGATACAACCAAGTAATGGCTCTCATCCACGTTGCAGTGGCACGGAGACAAACATCGTAACTCATTGTTGTCAAATACGTATCGTCATCCACGTAACCAATGAAACCCAATGGATCTTGTCCTTCGTCGATTCTATGCTGCTTGGATTGCTGGCATCGCTTTTCCACATTTGTAACCACGCTGGGATCGTGTATTTGGAGCAACACATTACGGGCCTGCTCCAATTCGGCGTCAGAAATGGTTTGACGGCGGATAGAGTCCTCTGAATCTGACTCTTCATAGCCAGGAGTATCTGCAGAAACGTCGATCAATGTGAGCCTTCGAGAACATGAGGACTCCTGCTGATACTCTTGTAGAGCTTTTACACAGGCTTCCACGCGAGCTGGTTGTTCTGGATGGTAGGCCAAGGATCGGTGGAGGTGATTGCTCGAGTCAAACAAGATTGGAAGATTGGATGGAGCAGGCACGTCCAATAGGGCATCCGAGAGCAATGGCGTCCCATAGGCAGCTACGATCACAGCTATGCGAAAGCAAATCGATATCATCTCCCGATGTCTTCTCTCCGAATCAGAAAGGGCGTCCTTTTCATGCCTTGTGCGGGTCCAAAAGGAAGCTGATGTTAGCGGTCCATGCACACAGAGGATCCGATGGACGCGTCAACCGATGTCCCGAGGTTTCGCACCTGGAATGTTATCTAGCTCTGTCGGCTTGGAGAGTCTGGTTTTCGAAGTCGGAAAGGCGGATTAAACTAACTTATGTCGGAGCAAAACAAATCGAATCTTTGGGATTGAATGGATGCTTCATTGGACTTTTTGTGCCGGGTACGTTGAAGCTCTACAATGAACCCAATGACGACCAACCCTCAAGGACTTCCTGATTCCGGTCATGCATGCGCTTTGAGGTCTTTTTCGGTTAGAAAAGCATCATCTCACCTCCTAAGCGAGGTATTTGCGCACCAGTGGCTTTGTCCAGAAACGGCGAGCGAGCGAAGCCCCTCAACCTTTTATCCTAAAGGCTGTTCATTCTCTTTTTTAAAAGAGCCTAAGGAGAGACCGAGTGCATTCCAAGCCAGGAGCTCCTTTTGCATCAAGTCAGCCACTACACAAGCAGAGCGTCGCTCGCCACCTGCAAACTCTTAAAGTGTGCCTTTCACAGGTTTCAGTGGTTTTCAGTCGCCTGAACTGAGCATAAGTTGAAGAAGCTTTGTTGCTGGTCAACTGCATTGCCATCTTCAAAGAGCAGTATTGCCTGCCACCAACCAGTATTGCCTGCCAAAACCTGTGAGATTCATTGCTAGTAGCTGGCTGGAGTGGCAAATAAATGTCTGCCCAGTTGTCGTTTTACTTGACTATCGATTGAAGCTTTCATTCCGTCAGATTCTGACGTTGACACTGTCACAGCTGCTACTGGATAATTTTGTAATTTGCTTGAAGATTAAGCAAAGTTTTCCAAGCAATGCTTCGTTGTGTCAGACCTGGAGACTCAGGTGCGAGCCACATGGTTGTGCTGCACCGCTGCACCATCAGCTACGGTACAATCACAGCTGGCAGTAGTCAAGCGACTCAAGATTCGCAGAACACCAGTGCCATAATGTATAATGTGCACTGCACACTGGAGCAGAGCTAGCTAGCGGTAGGCTGAGCAAAACCGGTACAGTACTGTACCATGTACTTGGGTACCCGGGAGCCCGGGATCCCAAGAGAGGTCGCCGCAAAATCATCCATGACGCAAGTCAGGTAGTAAGTCATATTTTATATAAGATCGCTGCCACCAGAATGTTCTCTCACCGGTTCTGCTTAGAACTTTCAGGTTCTGGTTTTTTGCTGGTGCAACGAGTAGACTTTGACGTCATTGAACTATTAATATCTAATATCTAAGAGAAAAGAAGCACTCCCTTTAAAATTTTTGGTAATGGTCAAAAACGAGTCATAGTTCCTAAACGTAATAATCTACTGTACTTAATATCATTGCTTCTTCATTACATTTGAGGATTTAACATAATGCCAGATTTGATGCCCGTTGTCTTCAAGCACTATGACTGTCGCGGCTCCTCCACTGTACCGGTACGGTAATATGATTGAATACAGTACAGTAGCTAATACAGTAGTGTCGAACTGTCGTTTGTGGATGGACACATGCAATTTTTCTTGAGGAGGCGCCAACAAAATTCTGTGTGCTGGTGCTGGTACCAGGTACTTGGATACTCTTGGATCAACACTGGGAGATTGATTCTTGATTCCTGATTGTCTCCAGCCTGCACACAGCCAGCTCACGCACCGTCATTGACGAGGCTGAGTTCTGGGTTGTCACAAAACGAGAAGACCTTCTCGTTCCAACTTGTGCTCATAAAACATACAAAAGGCTTGGACGAAAAGCGGCCAGCAAGATATATGCATAATAACAGACCAAACATGGCGGCCTTGACTATTACTCTTCAAAACCAAATCTCTGGTCTCAACCACCAAGGAGCCATTGCCTTGGCGTGTGGCAATGAAAAGGAAGCACACAGATCATTCAAGGGCGCGTTGGAAATGCTTGGTTTCCTCTCGAACAATCTCGAGATCGCGGAGGCCGACGGAGGCGCGTTACACCCGGCATTGGTTTCCTCCGTACCATCTCCTGGAGTCGCTGACGAGCGCTTCTTTGTCTTTGGAGAGGCACTGTTGTTTCAATTTGGCGATGGTGAGGTGCCGAGTCTCCAAGACGTCTGTTTCTGCAGCTGCCTCTCCCTCTTCAACATGGCGTTGACGTACCACAGGAAGGCGATGCTAACGGGCACCCGTCAGCTCTTTCTCACAGCGTCCAGAATCTACGAGCAAGCTTTGAGTGTCGCAGATGGTCTGCCCGAAGAAAGTGCCAATGTTGGTTGCGTCCAGGTCCTCATCCGCAACAACTTGGCGCACATTTTCTACTACGAGCTCGATTGCTTTGAGGAATCGCTCCAACATCTCGAGAGGATCAAGGCGTCGATTCAAGTCTTTGAAAATGGATTGTTCCGCATGGACAGTCCCTCCAAGGACGAAATCCTTTTGAACCTTTTGCTAACCAAGCCCCCCATGACGGCAAGATGCGCCTGAGCTCCTCGCTATCATAGCTATTTTGCTTCATGGCTCACATGCACAACTGTTCACCTTTAGCAAACCGATACGGCCTGCCGGGCTTTCGGGCATCCATTGTAGATTAGATGATTTTAAAAAGCTACTGCTAACTTCCATTTTTATTCATGATACCCATACCACATACTCTCCCTACGATCTACCAGCTAGATCCCATCACGGTACGGTATCTCTATCGGATCGGTTGACGCTGTAGCCATGTCTATGTCTCGAAGTCCAGACATGCTTGATGATTGTCGATGACGTAACATGGCCCTACGACTATTGGAGAATCTAACCGGTTGAGGAGGAAACCAATTGTTCTCCCTCCCACTGGAGGTGAAGATGGCATCATAGGTAACCAAACCTCAATTTCTCCAGTGAGAAAATTCCGGGTCTGCTATTAGCTAGACGCTACCGGTACCGTGACTTCTTCGTTGGAATGAACAATCCAGCTAATCGAAGGTACTTGTTCAAAGCCAACAATTAATTGCAAGAATCCTGGAGGGTGCCACACATTTAGTAACTAAGTCTGATTCTACTACCAGTAGCGTGACATGAGGCAGGCTCTTGCTCCATGTTAGTCTAACCAGATCCAAAAGGCAATAGATGCACATCCTCACCGGTCCACCTGTATGTGACAAAGACCACTGGAATGGGAGAGAGAAACTGCCTTTACTGTTCCCTCTAGCTATAGCACCCTACTGCCTGCTTCAACCTACAGTGTTGGTTCGGAGAAATCACCACAAGAGCTTTTTGTAGGCCTATTTCAACCACAAGAAACCAATGACGACCAACCAGAATAATGTTACAAATAAATATGTTCATGCCCCTTTTGACGCCATGATCCAAAACACTATGGCTGCTGATTGGCTGCATCGTTGCATCAAAACAATCCTTTTCCAGTAGCCGCCAGTTGCTCGAAAGAAGTTTTTTCCGAATGGCAGTACCCTTCTATTTGATAGATCTTGTTTTCTACGGTAGAAAGGTCATACAAGGTTGAAAAGGCGTACTAGCGAGTAGCTACATGTTGATGTAGACGGCCGTTGATGCGGTTCGCAAGGAAGCACCTCCAGGTTGTTTCCGGAGATCCCCGAGAGCTATCCCCGCCACGAGCCACCTACCGGTACTAGCTAGAGAGCTTCATTAAAGAAGCTGGGTTAGGATTTTACCAGTACGGTAGATCGATGCATCGGTTGACAACTTGACTTGGAGAAAGAAAAGAGGATCCAAATGGCTTGCAAGAGATACCGTATCTTTAGCTAAGTACAGTAAGTGATATTGCAGAAGAACACAGAGCCCACTAAAAAATAAATGGGGTTGAATTTGGTGAAGGTACAGTAAATCCAAACCAGGCCAGTTGGACTTCAACTGTTGCGTCTTCCATCCGTTTTAAAGCTTGGCACAGCCCCGTCGTGCAAATTCGTCTCGGAGCTGTTTTGAATTGCAAATAGCAGGGAAGAAATGTACCTGTCCAGGTTTGGCTCCGTTGGCTAGAGCTTCCGGTGAATTGGCACTTTGTCCGGGTCCATCATTCCAGTTTTCGGAGGGAGTCTGAGTTTCCTTAAAGTACACCAAAATGGGTCCCTGTGGCTGATCAATCCATCCTTCTGGGAAGAAGTCGTAATTGACAAAGGAATCGTACGTCCAACGATTTTCGCCTCCCACGACAATGTTCTCTCCGGTTTGTCCCAAATTTCCTTCGTTCTCGTCGCCACCGGTGGTTCGGAGTTCAAAAGACGTATCATCAAAGCAAAATCGAAGACGGGCTGTTTGTACCACAAATAGGATTCCCAAGAGTGTCACAAACGGACCCAGGGTTAATTGAATATAGGGGATCAAATCCAGCAAAATGCCACCCGCCAAGAAAATGGCGCCCAGTTTGTAGTCAGAGTCTATCACGACATCTGGAATTGTTGGCTTGGCTTCTTTTTCTTCCACTGCTTTGACCGCCGTGTCTTCCTTGGATTTCAACAGAGAACCAATTTCCTTCGAGAGAGTTTCACCAATTCCACCAAACATGTCCAGAGGACTCTTGCTTTCTTGCAGGATGGTAATAGCCGAGGCAGCACTCCGATGGGATTTAGGAGTGCTGACAAAGGCATCGGATGACAAGGCCATCATCATGCATGGTACAACCGTCGAAAGGATCTTCATCGTGCAACCGCTAATACTCAATAGATATTCTCTCTTGCTAGCTAGCTATTATAGTTGCTATGGCGAGTTGTAAAGCCGAATTGTTGTGGTGTGGTAGCTTTTTCATCGTCTTTTCCTTGGCCAAGGTTCTCATCATCGTCACAAGAGATCTTGCGTTCGTCCTCGTTTTCCGAAGACGTCATCTCGTGACTGAGTAACTCATGAGTAACAAAGTATTGCCCTGCAGAGCTGCAAATAATATACCCTTATTAGTTATGTCTGTCCTTCGTAGGATTGGCTTTAGACTGGGCTTGTGCGTGCTTCCATCGAGTGAGTCAAAGTTGGATTTTGACTCGAGATTTGGTTTTGACTTGGGTCTGATCTACTATTCACTATGGGATAAACAGTAGGGTAGACTCGACGATAGGCCAAATTCAAATCTGCACAGGGAATACCAAAGAAGCATCACCAGAGAACGGATCGCGCGCATCCCCAGAGGTTCGGAAAACGGTACTGGAACTTGACCACCGGTACTCAATGAGAAGCCAACGTCACTCTTAAGCTAACCATCCAGACATTCAGTCATCCATGGGTTTCTCACTTTAGGAAATCGGTTTCTCACTCTACGAAAAATGACACATGAAGCCAATGACGAAAAAATGAGGGTAGGAGTACTCTACCGGTACAGTTCGACACTCCTACAAGCACCACAATACTACAACGATCGACATGACGAAAACGAAGAAAGATTATGCCCCAGGAACCTCCGTTCTGGTCAAGAGTGCTACTTCTAATGGCCATGAGGTGGGTACGTTCATTGAGGCGTTGAATGACTCGGTCTGTAGCGTTGAGCTCCAGAGTGGCAGAAATATCACCGTGAGTTGGTGGTCCCTTCAAGAGATTTCCGAAGGGCCAGCCGAACGTGGTGTAACTCGCTACGTGGATTACATTGCTCGTGTTGGAGCTTGGCGCGACAACCGTCGTTCGGAAAACTATCGCCGCCAATTCGACTTGGGGGAGCTTCATCGTCGCCTTTTGGTCTCTGATAGAGAACGTGAAGAGCTCCATTGTCAGGTGAGGAGGTTGGAGGAGAGGGTGATTCAGTTGGACAACCGGTGCCAGCAGCTGGAGGACTTCTTGCGCGAAAGCAACCTTCCCAGTGGGTTTTAGTTAGATCTGCCGTGTTAAGCCCTTATTACTTAGTAATCATTTTAAAGTCACGCACCTCTCTTACAGCAACACTAGTAACTAGATCGCTTCCAGTCAACAAGAGTGTTTCAACACCGACCATGGCAATGACAAGGAGCGAAATGCGCTACTGTTAAAATGTAACTAAGTAACTACTTCTATTAGAGCTTCTACTTCTTAGTGCGTCCCCGTGAAGCCCCCTTTTCCAGCAGATTGTTCGACAGGAGCCATTCAACCATATTCGAAACCGAGCACTTGCACTCTTTCTGATACGTTTCTTGAAGCACGGTACATGCGTCTACATCGCTCATGTTTTGTTGTTGTGCATACGTTCTGATGCCTTTGACCACTCGCTGTGTCCTGGAGTAGTGGGCCGAATTGAAGTGCTTCCTCCACGATTTCCCAAACTTGTTGTTGCGCCCTTCCACACCACCCAAAGGATCTTCGAAATCACCAGTGCCACACCACTCGTCCATAAGCAGCAATAGTGTCTTGTGCTTGGGCTGTAGTCGAAAGTTCTCGTTAGACATGGGAACAATGGCTGTCACGGTTACCGGTGACACAGGACCTGCAATAACACCAAGTTGAAGCTGTTTCGGTTGCTGTTCTTCAGTTTCTGTGCTGGGACTGTCGATCTCTATGTCAATGTCAATATCCAAATCGTCGGTTGCTGGACTGTCAACGTCCATAGGCACAGAGCCACCTGCAAGCTGGTGAATCGCCTTCTGCACTGCTACTGTGTCGCTGTCAGTACTGGCCGGAGAACCACCACAGCGCAAAACACGAGAACCAACCTCTAACAAAGAAGCAAGTTTGTTGTGTTGCTCTTGCCGCGACATCTCTGCCCTTTCCGTGTAGGAAACCAGCTTTTGGATACCATTGCTAAGAACATCAGCAATGCTCTCCACCTTCTGGCCAAGGAGATTCATCGCTTGATTGTTGGCAGTGTGCCACTGGTGGAGTCCTGGCAAAAGTCGTTCGACGCTAGCGTCAAAGGGATCCTTTTCGGTGTTCATGGCCACTCTCATCTTTTCGGTAAAGGCCTGAAAAAAGGAGCGCAAATTCAGGTTGGGCATAGTTAGCTTTAACTTTACTCAACCCACTGTACACTTACGTCGAATTCTTTGGATGCAAAGACTGTCATCTCTTTAAACATAGGGTGGTGGGCTCTATCATCCGGCGACAACACCATCATTGCTGCTGCGTCTTGGATGAATATGGTATTGAGCTCGCAAAAGAACTTCAGTACGGCCACAACTGTATTCTTTTCCTTTGGTGCCTGCTCACAGACCGCCTCATATGCCCCGTAACACCATTTCCCGATGGGGGTTTTGACCAATAGATCTTCTGGGGGAAGAACTGCTGTCCGCGTATTGAAGTAGACGTTCTTTGCTCCACCAGCATACCCCGCAGCAGCTCTAAGAGGACCCATTGGTAGCTTCGAACTGTACGAGTTGTCGTATACTCCATTGTTCCACTGACCGATCTGCCGAATGGCTTCTGCTTCTTCTTGTAGAGACTCTAAGATGCGTGCTCCAAGCTTTCTGCCAAGGTGCAGCACCTTATTGCAGCATAGCTTCAGCCGGTCCAGCATCGACTTAATCGATTTCCCATACGAGTCATTGCGCATCTCCTTCTCGTAGTCTTGACAGGCAATGTCCACCAGCACTTTGACACGGAACCACTTCTCATTATCCAACCAGTCGTCCAGTGTGAAGTGTTGGAACTCGCCTGTACAGTGAAATCGATACATCGTGTAAAACGCAAAAGCACCAACTGCACAGTGATTGACGTTCTTGTGTCGAATTGCCCTGCCATACTGCTTTCTGCCATGTGTTGTTTTTCCGATTGGAATCTGGTTCACCATAACAAAGGGGGAGTGAACGTCGTTCTCGCCTTTGGCAAGGTTGATGCCCAAGAAGTCACTATACTCAGCACGATGAAGGCTCTCGCATCGCAACACTCCCGTTGTCAAATGTAGAAAGCAGTAGCGGTGGCGGAGATGGCATGCAATTGACCGGTTTCCAACTGCGTGCATGCTGTCATTCCACAAGAGATCCTCAATTGCCGAGTAGTGCTCCACAATCATGTAGGGAGAAAACTCTCCATCAATCTTCTCTCGGCAATTTTTCCTATCCTCCAGAGGCTTTCGCTCCTTCACATGTTTGCATAGCTCTTCTAGTGGCTCCTGCCAGATCAAATCCCAGGATAATGCTAATACCCTCTTTGATATCTGTACTTTGTAGATTTTGCGAATGACAGCTTTGTAAGCAGTGAATACTGAAGGGCTGATTGGCTTCTTGGGCGAAGGTCTGGTGAGCTGCGAGGTTGCAGAGTCCCGGTTTGGGTTGATCAGACTGTCGAATTCGTCTGCATTGAAATGGACTCGGTCTTCAACTGCAAGGCCACGCTGCGCCTTTGTGTTGCCCTTGGGCTTCTGCTCTCTAAAACAAAGATAATAGAAGAACCGATAGACTTTCTCATAGCTCAAAGTATACCTGTAGGGATCTGCTTCATAAGCATGGTCGCAGTACTCAAAGAATTCAAACACTTTGGGGTCTTGTGCCTTCTGAGTGTTGGTCGGCCTCAGCTCCTCCCTCATTTCCAACACAGATTGCTCCAGGTGGCTATTCAACGCAACATCATTGGGAGTCCGGAGTACATGAGCAGTCCTTGTGCCACCAGGAGAGGTGGATACCTGTTGGACTGCTATGGTCCTTGGTGGAGACTTCAGTCGCCTTGCAATGATGCGACTTGTCATGGTCAGTTGCTTTGGTGTGGTGTAAACTGAAACGGATTGATCTCCATCCACTACTAGCTAGCTACTAGCTAGTTAGCACGTGTAGTAGTTGTCCACTACCATACTACTGTAATGATGCGCGCGCAAACCAACACGGTAGGCCAAAGACAGAGGCAACGCTGTGGTATTTGCCGTGAGTACCGGCTATAATTCTATAGTTTTTGACTTTCGGTGTAATAAATTTCCATATTGACCCGCCCCGCGTGAGATAAATGCTTTGACTCATCCGCATTTTGACCTCCAGGCAAACTTTGCATGACTGAGTTTTGACGTATGTAGGTATATCTTTCAATTTTTAGACTGCTGGTACGTACCTCTGTCTTTCCCATGCAATCGAAGCATCTCGACTACGACAGCTACTACGACATTGCTTGCAGGTACGGTAGGTGTGTGGTAGTGTAGGATTTGGTTCTTTGAAATAGCGAGGAGTTTTTGATTGAGTGACTCTTTTGTGCCGCTGCGAGTCCTCATGATATCGATATTGCTGGGACGGTGAACAAGCAAAATGAAGCTTCCAGGAGTACGCAAGTCACGATGCTGGCTACCGTACATGGTCGGAATTAGCCTCCAAGTGCGAAATGCAGACTGTGTCCATTGCTAAACTAATCTACGCCCTTCACCGCAGATTTCTTTAGCTTTTACCAATCTCATCACTGCATCACTGCTATTCCCTATTAGAGCCAGCTTCAGCCAGCTTCACCAAAAGAAATTGAAGTTCTGTGGCGGTACCGTAGCGAACATGTGGGAGCTACACAGCCACAAGTATGTATCTCCCAAACAGCTACTCCATGTAGTGGACGCTCATGGGTCAAGGTGTGGGGCATTTTCCCTATCGAAGGTCAAATTTTTGGGGGCTGCAATCATCCTGGGAGCCCAACGGTAAACTGTTGGATCACAGGTAGGTTTCCGAAGCTAGAACGCGGGACTCGACTCGTGATTTCTTAGGTAATGGTACCGGTACATGTACCAGAGCCCAGAGCCACCGGTACATTCTCGCTAAGCAGGCATGCAGAGTCATGCAGGCAGGCATGACTTCTCTCGCACCCTTTCGTCGCGGATACGCATACCGGTACGTGATATCTTAAATCACTTTTGAGTACAGTATCTCATACAGTAATACAACAACACATCACCAATACACGTTAAACGATACTTGGTTCCAGGCAGCGGCGGCGGTTGTCACTATCAACCTGGGAAACCAAGAGGAACTGCTCAAACTGCGAAAGTTCCCTCATTGCACTGGTACCTGCTTGTTTTATTAATAATAGTCTAACATTTAATTTTGAATGAACAAGTAAGCAGAAGAAACGTGAAACTGAACCCTCAGGCATAGTGAACCAAAACTGACCTGTTGTGTTCTCTCTCGGGCTCTAAAATTTCCACTGCACGGCAACCACAGCGTCGCTCAGTTTGCCTTGTGTAATAACAAGTCAGGAAGCAATGGGTTACTCGGTTGTACCGTACGTATCGTAGATCTACTAGACTTCGGGGATATGCATAGTTCTTGTAGGCCGAATGAGCCAGCAGTGCCGCTTCCGTGACTGCCGATCTTCACTATGCTGAGACTACCTGTATGTACCGGTACAGTACCAGTACATGCTGTAATGGCGTTGCTTCTCCACCGATGGAGAAGCTTCAGGCAGGACGCCGATGACATCCAGGATCGGGAGGCCACAGTGGCCGATATTTCGCCGCAGCCCGCTTTACCAGGTAGAGCACCTCTCGAAGAGGAATCATTGGCCACCTGTATGTTTTGGCTTTCTCTGCACTGTAATTAGGCACTTCGAGCAAATAGAGCAAGGCAACGATAAACTGTCAACACTGAAACCTAAACTGAGCATCAATCTTACCATAGCTGATACAACTTTAAATCTCTGTTTCTTTCTTTTGACGATGAGACCGGGTGTCACAAGCTGTCGTTTATTTAAGATGGGAACTCTATTACGGCCCTCGTATCTGCCATTTCTAGGGAGTGCACTTTGAAACGAATCTTGATATTTTTGTGCCAAAGGGGCCCAAGGAAATAAGTATGCTGACCCCAAAAGATTCATGCATGTACTCTCAAATCGATAGTAAGCACTCCATTCTGGAGAATTCTCAATACTGGCCACCCTCACTGTTTGTGAGGGGTACTAGTGCCGCTAAACCAATCAAGCAGAAAGAATCGAACGAGCCACTCCGCTCTCCACAACCCCACAACAAAAACAGTCCGTCGAGTTAACCAACGACTTGAGTAAAGATCAATCAGATCAACCCACAGAGGTGACTCCGCAAGAATCGAACGAACCATCACAGTCAGCTTTCTCATCTCCCGCAAGAACGATCCATATCATTGACACCATGAGCTCTGCAACTTCGTTTACCGTTCCAGAGATGAACATGAAAGCTGTGGAGTGTTTTCGGCGTGGGAGCTTTGAAAGAGCAGTGTCGTGGCTGGACCAAGCGCTGGGGTATCTCAATTCCACGGCTTGTTTGGGTGAACGTAGCACAGATGGAATGGATCAGTCAGAGACTTCTTCTGTCCAAGCTGGTTCTGTATACAGCGATGCATCGGGTAGCACCAGAAGCAGGCCGGATGCTGCAGCTAGCTTCTCCGGCCTCTCCGCCAGCCTGGATTCTCACAAGAATGTTGTTTGCGAGAAAACTGTTCTTCAGCAAGAGGTCCGGGGAAACGGTAAACAACGGGGTATGATTCGTTCCGTATCCACAACCTCTTGTCCTCTGAGGACAAAGCACCATCAAGCGGCAACCAATGTCTTTGAGTTCTATTCTCGCTTCCTCGTTTTCGAAGCACACCGTGCCCGCGGGATATCCAAGTCTCGACTGCTTTGCGTAGTATTTTTCAATATGGGGGTATGCTACCACAGTGAAGCGATTCGGCTTCAGAACGTTGGGTCTCCGCCTCCAGTTTATGGCTACTTCTATCAGTACGCGTTGCAGCTTTACAACATGAGTCAGTTGTCCCTACACAACTCTTGGGGCGCACTGAACTGCGAGGACGAGAACCAGACCCTGGTGCTGGGATTGGCTCTCTCGAACAACAGTGGACACATTCATCATCTCATGGGCAACTTTCGGGAAAGCCGGTACTGCTTGGACGCCATTCAACACTTTATCCAGTCCACCAAGACCACTACACCAGAGAACAAGGAGCAAAACGAACTGAGTACAACATTGTCTCCGCAAGATCAGGGCTTCTTCTTGCGAACGGCCATCATCTTTGAGGACCGCAACCTGCATATTGCACCATCTGCTTGAGCCCGTGTATATATATTGCACCATTTGCTGGAGCCTATGTGCTGGTGCCAGTGGTCAGTACCATGAGCCTCGCACCTTCATAGTACTATTCGAGACTACACGTGCTTATTGCTTCATAGGTTTCATTGCGGCTACTAGCTACCTATCAATGTCAAAGATACACCACTAAACATAATCACTAGCTAGCCTGCTATTCGATACATTGCACATGCGATGCCCCGGCTAGCCCACAGCTGCGTGTTGCATCCCTGCAGCTGGCTACGTGTTCAGCTCCAGTCTCGATGGGGGAGAGGAACCGTTGCAGAGCTTGTTGTTTTGCACAAATAATAGAAAACCCACTAGTAGGACCGTACCGGTACAGTACCGGTAGCAGGTTCAACTGATTCCGTAGAACCGTTGGGTTTGCCAAGGGAATTTGGTCATTAAGTAATGAGACAGAGACCACTCTAGCTCAACCTCCGCACTCCGCATTCCTAAGTACATAGTGCACGTAAGAAGGTCTGCTCTCAAGAGAATTAGAGGTGTGCTTGGAGCATGTGCCTTATCCATGTTTGTTCAGCCTGAAATTTGACGGAGCCCGAACCCCGACCATCCGATGGCTCTGGCCACCGGTATGCATAATATATCTGACCGTAGGGTACCGGTACAGTACCAGTACCGGTGGCTGCTGTACAGGCACTTGCTGATTATTGCTGATTGCAGCTACATGCGGCAATTACTGATTGCAGCTGTGGCACTGGCATCCCCGCCGGAATGGTACTGACACTCTTGCCGTAACGTGAGACGTGGAAAGAGCAAGCCATTATGGTTGACACCAGAGCTGCAAGGAAAGGGGTCAAGCAGCAAGGCAGCTGGGTTGTTGCAAGCAATTGGGGAGTGACAGTCTAGCTAGTAGTCCTCTAGCTACCGACGATGGAGAGTAGGACGGGTGGCAACGCAATACCAGGTCTCAAGCTAGCTGATTCAACCTTGCTTTTTCGTTGTGTCTAACACAGTATCCAGCAAGCCAAGCAAGGAGTCACTGTGGTCGTTCAGCGATTCCTCAAGTGCTGCCAACAACGCCGCGTCGCTAGTATCACTTGAAGGACTCGCTTCTTCAAGCTCGTAGACTTTGCCATCTGATGCACCAGCCGAGTCCAAAAAGAGATCTTTTGGGGTCAATAGGCATCCCCGGTCTCGACAAGATTGCAGCAACGCTTCCCATGGTCGCGACGTTTGCAAGACGAGAGGATCTCCCAAGACGATCAAGCCACGCTTGGCCCGGGTCAACGCTACACAAAGTCGTCGAGGATCCCTCAAGAATCCCAAATCCTGTATCAGATTGGATCGGCATGCCGAAAACACCACCACATCGGTTTCCTGTCCTTGGAAGGAATCCACAGTGCCCACACGGACCGCATCACAGCCCTGTCTCCTGGTCGTCAGTAGCATTGTTCGGATGAGTTGCACTTGCTTCGCGTAAGGGCTAATGACGGCAATCTGGACGCCGACGTTGGCATCCGCAGACTGTAGATTGGATACAATATCAACCACCAAGGCCGCTTCGGTAGGATTGGACTTGCCGCCACGATCGTGTGTCGTCTCCAAATTGGGTCCAACTTGGACGAATGCCATTGGCGCTCCGTTGGGCCAAGGAAAAGATGCGGGTGGTGACAACTCTTGCACGTTTTCGGCACATGTGACCAACCCCTTGTAAAAGTACTTGGAAGGGAACTGCAGCAAATCCGGTGACATGCGATACTGAACTCGCAGTGTTTGCTGGCCTACTCCGCACTGTTCCAATCGAGCCATGGGAGAGACACCCAATGTGTTTCGCAGTTCTACAGAGTTACCGGCAATTGTGGGTGGTAGTTGTCGTGGGTCTCCCACCAGGACAATTTGTTCCGCTTGGGCCGCCGCCAATGCACACAGTAGAGCCGGTTCTGTGGTTTGAGCAGCTTCATCCAGAACCACCATGTCGAATGGAGAAGAACCATTGTCTGTCGTCTCTGTCGCCAACAACTGATGCGCTCCAATGCAACTGGCCACAACAACTGACGCGGTTGCAGCAATCATGCGCCGTACATCATTGACGCAATGCCCCATTTCGTGAACGGCCGTGTTCCTGACATGACGTTCCAAGGAGAGATCCATGATTTTGCGTCTCAACTCTCGGACTGCCGGGTGTTGTTCGGCCATGGCCACGACCGTCCGATGCCGCACGGATGCGGCTACCGACGCCGGTCTTCCCACTCGTACTGCCGGGACGCCTCGATCGAGCAATGCTTGCAACAAGACATCGGCGGCACCATTGCTGTGTGCCACGGCCAAGACTCTTGGTGATGCTGCTGCTGTGTTACATGAAGAGTTGGATTTGATTTGAATGGCCGAGGCAATGAGACGCGCCGCACAGATAGTTTTGCCCGTTCCAGGAGGTCCAATGAGTAGACTGATTCTTCGTTTCAATGCCCAGGCAATGGCATCTCGTTGAGAATTGTTGGGTACAAACGATCCAGTTTCAGATTGTTGGGCTTTTTCAATGGAATTGTCAATGGCAGTTTCCACGAGGGAGGGTGCTGACTCTGTATTGCTTGTTGTCGCATTGAAAGCTTTTTGCAACCAGGTTGGTACTTGAGATGCCATTTCTTCTGCCCTCGTAGTGTTAATATTGTCGTGTGCTGCTGCTGCTGCTGCTGCCTGCTGCAACCACCATGTCTGGACCATCCATTCGGCTGCCGTTCCAGCCTTGCCTTTCCGTACCCGATCCAATGCTTTCTTTTGTGCCAGCAAGGTAGCTTGAGGGATGGTTCGATCCAACCGTACCAGATAGAATCCAGCCTGTTTTCTGGATTCCCACAATCCGGCTGGCCAAGAGGGTCCGACACCGGCAGTCATCCAGTCCGTGCCCACATCGACGACACATATTTCTCTTGGTACCACGGTAGGACTACCACGACGACTACGACGACTATAGCCGTCAAAACCATCGGAATCTTCCGGTGTCAGGAGCAAGACATCTCCTCGATTGTAGAGGTCCCTCCAACTATTGGCATCAGCTGTTGTAGTGGCAAGATGACACGTGGATATCCGTACAATTTTTTCTCCAAATAGTTCCGAATCCGGCTCTGCCGCCACCCCGAGGAGCGAGACTCCAGCCGCCTGGAGTCGTTGTGTGGACCATCGTGTTCGTTGTTCTCTCAAATCATCGACAGCGGCTTGATGCTCTTGTTGGAGCAGTGAGTCCCAATGGAGAATATACGATTCCACAGTTTGGGGAATGTCATTTGTAGTATCACCATTGTAGTTTCTCCTAGCGGTGGTGGCACTACAACTGGAAGAGACCCGCTTTGACAATCGATCTTGCTGCAGATGTCTCTGATGTCTCTGTGGTATCAAGGCATGAGAGCAACTGAGGGACACAAGTAGAAGGGACAACACCCGCACATGCTGCACCAGATTTCTCTCTCTTCTGATGCCCATAGTAGCGACTGGAGCAACAGCCATGGTCGGCTCTTTGGCTGTTTTGTCCTTCGAGTGTGTTCAGAAGGCAGCTAGCCAGGGATCTCATCTAGGTAGCTGCGGTAAAGCAAAAATATAATTGATGCAGAAATAATATTCCCAACCCTATAGTTACCTCAGCTACCCGACAAAAGATATCTTCCTCTTTCAGGCTGGGCAGTTGTTGGATCCAAAATGACGTGGTCAGCCTCAGGTTGATCCTGATGTAAACCGGCTTGAGCGGCTTATTCGAGAATGTCGACGTTAGACAACACCCATGACGAGGACCTGCATCACCAAGGTTGCATCACAACGAGCAGAATAGAAGAGGTGTCAAGACGCCAACGGTCTGTCAACCTTGGACTAGCTACGGTAGCATCCACTGTAGCCGCGCCATTCTCATCAGTTTTTGCCATTGACAGAGACCCATTGTTTGGTCAGGACTACGCTACCTGAAGATTGTTGAAGATTCTCACTGTTGCTTTCTCATTAGTCTATTTTTGGCTTGCCATGATGCTTGGATCCACTTCAAATAGTCGAAGAATAACTGCCTTTCCTCTGGGACTCTGGAGTGGTCTCTTCTTGTTGCTACTGTTGAAATACCAAGTGCATGGTGCCTTTACGCAGTCGTTTGGTGCAAGTCTCAGTCAGCAGCATGCGGTCCGCACAAAGCAGAACAGTGAAGCAGCATCATCAACAGGATCAACAACAAATTCTGCTCCCATTCTCTTGTTTGGAGGAAGAAACAACAACAACATACAATCCACATCCTCATTGAGTGTGACTGCCAATGGTGCCAATGGATCTGCCTCAAGTGTCAGTAATAATAGTCAAAAGAAACAGTACCAACACGTCTTGGCCATTCTGACCATGCCCAACACGTCCATGGATCGAATTGCCAATGAAGCCATTTTGAATCAAGCGCTGTCCAATACCAACAAACTCTCCATTTTCTTGCGCTGCCAAGGAGGCAAGTCTCCCTCTTTGGCCAACTTGAGACGGTACATGGGAGAAGTATACAGTCAACTCTGGGACTTTGCCATGGCGTCCGACGCGGCCGTTGACTTTAACAATGTCGTGGTTTATCCACAAAATTTACCCAATTCCGCCGCCGAACAATGGATCTATCATTTGCCCGATCTCGATGCCGTTTGCTCCCACGATTCCATTTGTGGATGGATTTCGGAAGGAGCCGGAGGACGTGGCGCGCAATTCCAATTCCAGTTGGGAGATGGGGTGGGAGGATTGGATACACATGTACAAGTCGTCAATGAGGATCGACTGGCACGAGGGCTCCAACAAGTCACGGCATTGCATGTCAAAAATTGGCCCATTGGAGCATCCGCCATTCAGTTGAATCAGGAACATGTCATTTTTGTCGATGACGATGCCGTCGCACGACAACAACAGAAAAGTAGTTCCGACGACAACAATAGTCCCGGGAGTGGTCTCTTTCTTGGTGGGGCTCGTATCCCCGACAAGTCGCTCTTTAACTGTGTCGCCGTCGGTGGGACATTTGATGGGATGCACTATGGACATCGCAAACTATTGACACTTGCCGTGTCCTCCATCCTTCCCGTTACGGGACGACTCATGGTCGGAGTCACTGTCGATGACATGCTCCAAAGCAAACAATTCGCCGAATACATTCCTTCCATGAAAGAACGCATGGAGGGAGTTCGAGAATTCTTGCATCGATTGGCACCCGGAATGAAAAATAGAATTTCCATTGAACCCATTTCCGATGCCTACGGACCACCGGGCAAGGCAGCCACCGGAGCGGCATACGATGCACTCGTGCTCAGTCATGAAACATTGGAAAATGGAGTCAAACTCAACCAACATCGAGCAACGGAATTGGGCATGGAACCACTGACGCTCCTTTGTACACGACGAACCGAAGCCTACGGAATGAGCAGTACCACTCTGCGAAGGTTGAGAAGCATGTCCAAAGTCGAAACTGAAAATGTTCTAGATCGAGTGTAGAACGCAAGAAACACAAAAAATAAAACTTTTACACACGCACAGCTACATGCATACTTTTACTCTACACGTCTGGTAAACTTTGGGAACCGTTTTCTCGTAGTTCTATCCAATACGATATCGTGATTCCGATAGTATTTGGCTTGGATTTGACGCTTCTGCCTGGCAGTCGCAAGCAGGTCACTGCATGAATCCTAGACTGTGTGGCAGGACCTCGATGTTGCTACATACATACATACATACATAGAAACAGGCAAGACAGCTAGCCACTGTCGTCGTACATGGCGCAGTAGAACAGTTTGTCGGAACAAGAAGAGTGGAGAGTTGCCCTCCCTAAATGTATGTAGTGTGAAAATTCTAATTATTCCTATGGCATATGACCTCAGCACTCAAAACCGCTTTTTTCACTGCTGTCATTGACATTGACATTCGCTCCAACATTACTTGGAACTCCTGACTGATCGCCAGAATGATCACTAGCGGTACTCATGCCGCTAGTTGCACTCACGCCACTAGCGGTACTCGTGGGAGCCTGCATGTTAGTATGGAAAGTGGATACGGACCCTGAAGTTCCTGGATCCACTGCAGGCGACACCCAAAACGTTCGGACACGGCCTTTGCCTTTCGCCTCTACTCCTCCTGCTCTTTCCGTCAACCAAGCACCCTTTCCACCAGCTCTGAGCACATCAGCAGTGTCAGCAGAAGCCTGTATCTTTCCAGGCAAACCATTGCTCTCCATGCGGCTAGCAGTGTTGACGGTGTCTGCTCGTCACGAGACGAAGAAGGTCTAGTGAGCCCATCTGACCCTGAAACTGTACGAGCAACCGAGGTTCAATTGACTTACCGCCGAAGAGCTGGAACCGGGCGCGATCTCCTCGAAGAACACCAGCTGTCACAGAGCCGCTATGAAGGCCCACCCTCATCTGCAGATCAGCGGTGTCCTCGCCCAAAGTCCGGAGAAGCTTTGCATGAATCACCTGGTTCATGGCCTCCATGCACTCCGCTGCGAACCGAACCTACGGTAATGAACAGCAAAGAAACCAAAAACGTAAGCATCGTCGTGAAACGGACCTTGACTGGCCCAGGAAAGTCTCAAACTTACCATAATCTTAGCATGATCCTTCTGCGGCCGTGGGATGCCTGTAACAGCTAAGTAGCAATCGCCGATCTGTTTGTGGGGTCGAAAGAGATTTGAGATACGATTGATTCAGAGAAGAGTGAGTCCTCTTTCTACCCCAGGGAAGTGACCGTACCGTCTCTACTTTGAAGACCCCGCGGCGCTTGGCAGTCTTGTCGAATAGCCCATACAGTGTCTCCAACAATGTGAAAACATGTTTCGGATCCCGTGAAGAAGACCATTTGGTGAATCCTGCCAAATCCGCAAACAACACTGTGCAGTTATGATGTAAGTTAGCAATGGCAGTCTTCTCGTCAATACCCTCCAGTTCTCCGCTCGACATTAACTTGTCAAGGTCGGGAGCTTTTTCTTTTTCCTCTTCAAAGAGACGATCTCGAACAGTCGAGGGAAAGAGTTGCTGCACCACCTCCGTGGACTGCACGGCTTGTTTCAAAACCACGGTTTGACGCTTCTCCACGACTGCGTCGTAGACAATGAAGACGAGGGATGTAAACAGAAAGACTGACAGGACCAACAATGTGAAATACAAGGGGTTGTTCGACGTGAAGGTGTCTTCCAGCTCTTGAGTAGGATAAACCCTCACTTGGTAACTGCACTGTCCCGGTTCCAAATCATGTGGGTTTGCTGAGCCTCCCAAGAAGGCATTGTAGCCAGTGGACACCACAAAGTCATCATACTTGGTGTCGTGGAGATCACCAGCACCAATAAAGTGGGGTTCTTCTCCGTGAATAAGATAGGAGTATGTCTGATTGCAGGTGTTTTCCAGAATGGCCATGACTCCTTGGGCATTTTCTGTTTCGTGTTGATTGAAGTAGCAAAAGAAGAATGATTGTTGGCTGTGCTTGGAGTATGGTATGATAATCTTATTGGACCGTACGGGTACGTACCTGGAAGAATATCTTGAAAGTAGATTTGCCACCAAACATAGGAAGTAAGCAATCCTCCCACCTCTCGGTCGTTTTTGGTACTGTTTGGATCCACATCAATATCCTTGAAGACTGGGACATACAGATCGGAAACGGGTCCCTTTTCGTACTTGAAATCGCGAGCACCGGTTCGACGAGCAAGCCACAAGTTCAAGGCCGCCATCTTGCCTGAAATGACAAGAGGGAGGGGGTATGTTAAAAATTATCACGTAAGAAACCAAATCATGAGCAAGCAAGCAAGGAACGGATGTGGGAGGCCATAAGAAGGGAACGCACCTCGCTCTTCGATTTCACCAAAATTCGTGGCCCTGTTGATCAATGGTTCTTTAGTGCGAAGGGCGGCTGTGACGTGGACTCTTCGAAAGGGATGTGACAGAGTGTCGTAGTTCTGAAGACTGCGAGTGGGGAAGACTGGGGACCATTGCCACCAGGGTACATAGATGGGTCCTGGACCAGGATCTCTTTGCCATCCATCTGTGATGTTGAATTGAAAGATAAACGGTCGAATCTCGGGGCCTTCCACAATTCCAATGGGAGGAGCTTCAATTGCTTTAAGGTTGAGTTGTTGTTCTGTCATATTGAGATCGGCAGGTAGTCGGGGTTCCTGGTATGCCAAACTTGCATTGAGCCATCCCTGAGTCTCTTTCGAGTAGGCTTCCCATCCCTCTCGAGTCTCATTCGTTACCACTGGGAGGAAAATAATGGACATTACCGCCGCTAGTTCCAGAACATACGAGGCACGGGCCTCATAGTCTAAGGAATCGATAAAAGAAAATCAAAGAACAAAAGCATTTGCATGAGCATCCCTTGCGAAGACCTGCCTGCAGCTATTGACAAGCTGCCCCCCCAGCTGGAAGGCCCCGAGACGGATATCTACAAGTACTTACCCTGAATGGTCACATTGGGCCAAGTCATGTCTGCTTGCTTGGCCAGACTGGTAATGCTGGTGGCAAAGCTCTCTACCGCGGCCACACGACGAGCTGCGTTGGCTCGAAAGGCGGTAGTGAGCTTGTGGGCATGATGGTAGTACTCCGTCTCAAAGTCTTCGAGTTCCTTGTTGCGAATGTACCAAAAGACTCCCACAGAGACCAAGGTAGCAACGCTCACCAAGACGAGAATCAGAAGCATTCTCATCCTGCAAACCGCCTTGGACTCCTTGGTACCAATGGACACTCGTTCGTCGAGAGAATGTCGATTTGCGGCGGCATGGCTGGCCATGCTATGCGACTCGTCCAAGAATCCACTCTCCTCTTCCACCTGGGGCGCCAACATGGTTGTTTCAATTGTTTCAATGCAATGCGATGCGATGCGATGCAAAACTTACAAGACGGATTGTGCTAAGTGATTCTATGGCAGTGGTGCTGGTGTGTGTTGTGGCTGGATAATAGCAGTCGTTCAGGCAATCTCGCTGGATTGTGAGACGATAAAGAATGGAGTGTGGCTGAGCAGCCTTTTTGTCGTCGGGGTCACTACCGTTACAGGTCTCCATTAGTCTAGTTTTTCTTAGCATTCCAGCAAATCTTAGACCTAGTAGTCTACTATTTGACATCTTCTCTCCAACTTTCTTAGTATCAAGGGTGTATTCCGACTAGAGTTTACAATACTGCAGAAGAACAATGCGAGAATGCGAGCCAGAAGCCGAACGAAGAATCGGAGGAGGCAGTACCGGTTACCGGTACCCATGGTACCGGTAGGTGGCAGCTCTGTTGTACGTTGCACGAAACCTTCTGACTGGAGCAGTTTCGATGTTTCGACCAATCAAGTTCCTATGACCGCGAGTTGTTTTGCATAGGAGAAATGACTGCATACTCTATCTAGCTCTGTTTAGACCCAGCCAGTGCAGCTGTGAAAGCACGAAACAGATTCGATTCCGGAAAGACCAACCCCGAGATACGTTCACCCTCGCCTTGGATTTGTGGTTGTGATTTCCTAGTAGGTTAGGTACTAGAAGGAGTGGTGCTGTGGTACAAGTAGTTGTAGTCATTGTGCCCCCGTGAGCCTACCCTGGAGCTATTCAATTGTGGCAATTTCCTGTACAAAGCAGTATGCCAAGGACCGGCAAGGACAAACAGCACACTGTTGGGGGTGGGCTGGAGTACCGTACCGGTAGGCCAAAGAGTGTACCCAGTCAACAATGAACTATTCCTGGTTCTACCCATAATGAACTGGCCAACAGCGGGGTTGCTTTTCGGGTTTCCGGTGTACATGTAGGTGCATGGTACTAGTACTCGTTGGAGATCCCTCCCTTTGGGCGAGGGCGTGTCGTGGAAGAATATGAAGATGTCATTCTACCGTGGAAAATCTCCGGGTATGAAAATGCTGACACAGCCCTTCATTTTGCCTGGGTTACCCGGCATTCTGTCTGTTTGTGTTTTGGCGATAAAGGGATCCTTTGACTTATGGAAATGTCTACAGACCGATGAAAAGATTTAAGACATTAGGAGACATTAGGAGACAAAGTGATACATTGGTAGACATTAGTATACAAAGTGAGACATTGATAGACAAAGTGAGACATTGTGAGACATTGGTAGACAAAGTGAGACATTGTGAGACATTTTGGTACTGTTTTACACTACCTTGTAGACATTAGTAGACAAAGTGATACATTGGTAGACATTAGTAGACAAAGTGATACATTGGTAGACAAAGTGAGACATTGTGAGACATTGGTATACAAAGTGAGACATTGTGAGACATAAGCCACTTTTTCTAAGGAGCATAGAACATTTAAGCAACTCTTTAATCAGACACAATAGCTTAAATAGACAAAATGCCGAGTAACCCAGGAGGATCTTTGCCCACGATTCGAGCCCGTCCACAATTCTTCCAGACCGTAGCCAACGACCTCACCCACAACCAAGTTAATAGCTACGAGTAGTTCTAGAGCCCACCATGACATCCCGTGAACCGTACAAGTGTCCCTGTTGCAACAATCCTTGGGCTGCTGCAACAGGCGAATTCTTTGCCAAGTTGTGTGAGCCCTGTCAGGAAACGAACCAGAAGAATGAAGCAATTTCGCGAGAAAACATGGATCCCAACACGTTGCCCAGTAGCAACTTTTTCAAGTACTCCAATGGCACGTGGCTCGAGAAGAATCCCATCCCTCCCGAGTATCCTCAGTGGGACACCTTTGTCAGCTTGACAGCTCAATCCCAAGAGAACTTGAAGAATCTGCTAGAGGAGCTTCGGGCCAAAAAAACCAATGGCACTTGTACCGAGGAAGAAGCCAAAGTGGCGGCCTTTTTTGACGCGGCCATGGACGAAGACGAAATTGAAAAACAGGGCGTGAAACCGCTCGCACCCATCATGGCATTGATTGATCAAGCCGTGGCGGCGCAAACGTCAGGCCAAAAGGAAGAATTGGCCAAAACCTTTGGCACTCTCTCGATGGAGTATGGCCTTTCCGTCTTTTTTGGAATTGGCGTTAGTCCCGACAATGCCAATACCGATCATTCACTTTTGGAAGTGTGTCAAGGAGGAATTGGATTGCCCGATAGAGATTACTATTTTGACGAGGACAAACAGGACAAGCGAGACGCTTACCAGAAAGCCCTGGCGTTGATGCTCACTCTCTTGCTGGTGGATGCCACGGCTACCGAGCCAACAGAAGAAATGACACTGGCCGCCCAAAAAGTCTATCAAGTCGAATTGAAATTGGCAGAGAAACACATGACGAGGACAGAAAACAGAGATCCACACGACACATACAACAAGATGAGCGTCGCCGATTTCATCCAGTCCACTGGAGACGGAAGTTTTGATTTTGGAGCCTTTTTTGCCGCTGCCACTGGCAAGTCGGTCGCAGATTTGGGCGACATTAATATTCGCAACGTAGAAGCACTCAAGAGAGTGGCACAAGTCGTGTCCGAAATGGAACCCGAAACTCTGGGATACTACATGAAGTGGAGAACCGTTCGCTCCTACTCGCCCTACCTGCCCAAGGCATTTGTACAGGCCCATTTCGACTTTTTCCAAACGACACTGGCGGGAACCAAGGAAATCAAGCCTCGTTGGAAACGAGCCATGGCATTTACCGAAGGAGCTCTGGGAGAAGCGCTAGGAAAACTCTACTGTGCCAAGTATTTTGATGCCACCAGCAAGGAACGTGCTGTGAACATTGTAGAGCAGGTTCGACAAGCACTGGAAGCCCGGCTGAAAGAAGTGGACTGGATGACGGCTGATTCGACACGAGAGCAAGCCCTCAAAAAGATGGGGCGTTTTGGAGTCAAGATTGGGTATCCCGACAAGTGGACCGATTACTCGACAGTCAAGATTGATGCCAGCTCCATGACATTTTTGGATATGGTATTTGCCGGAGAAAAGTTTGATAGGCTCCAAGATGTCAAGGAAATGAATGCTCCTACCGATAAGGACAAGTGGGTAGGTTTATTTGTTGGCTGTCTGTCTAGCTACGAGGATGTCTCTATGTGTATGGGGCCGTGTCGTGTAGTCGAAGGTTCGTTCACTCACATTCCCTCCCTGTGTTCATTCCTACCGCATCAGTTCATGACACCCCAGACCATCAATGCTGTAAGTATCGAATTGAGCCAAGCGAGTCTAACGAAGGACCAAGTGTCGGCTCCGTCTCACCTCACGTTGTTTTCAAATGCATGTGGTTTCGTCATTCCCGAATCCCTGAATGGCCGAATCGAATTCACATCAGTGTAAGTGATTTGCTCAATCTAGGTTGATCTGATGTGAGGATTCCCGACGTGCATGACTCTTACGTTTCCCTTTTGATCTGGCAATTTGCATCACTCCTACAAAGACTACCATCCCAATCTGAATGAGATTGTGTTCCCTGCAGCCATCCTTCAACCACCTTTCTTCCACAGAGATGCCGACGACGCTGTCAACTTTGGTGGCATGGGGGCTGTGATCGGACACGAAATGACCCACGGATTCGACGACAAGGGACGAAAGTTTGACTTTGCCGGCACTTTGACGGATTGGTGGACTGCGGAAGATGCCAAGGAATACGAATCTCGTGTCGAAGTCATGGTGAAGCAAGCCAACAGTTTTCAAATCCACGGGCAAAATGTTCAAGGCGAGATGACATCGGGAGAGAATATTGCCGATCTAGGTGGTCTACGCTTGGCCCTTCGAGCAATGAAGGCTGCAGATGGGTACGATGAAACTGCACTAGTGGATGGATTTAGTCCTTTGCAACGATTCTTTCTGAGCTGGTCTCAGTGTTGGAGGCAGAACATTACAAAGGAGCGAGCTTTGCAACTTTTGACAATCGACTACCACGGTCCCAACGAAATGCGCTGCAACGGCCCCCTCTCGAACATGCAAGAGTTTCACGCAGCTTTTGATGTAAAGGAGGGCGACGCCATGTACGTTCCTGTGGACCAGAGAGTCGACATTTGGTAGTTGATGCTGCATCTAGGGCAACCCCCCTTCTCAAAGGGAATACCCCTTCAGAGAATCCAGAAGCGCAAACCCCATCTCTGGGCTGCAAGCTAAGGATAATACTGTAGTGATGATTGATTAGATGCCCGCCCCTCGCTAGCTAGCTAGTCCGTGTGGGATCAAAGGCACAGCGTCATCTCGTTGGTGCGTCTCGTCAGCCTGGTTGTTGGAAGCAAGCTGTCGACTGTCGACTGTCGCAACGTGGATGAACAACGAGGATGCTGCCTGATGTCACTGAAACCCGAGCCATGATGGTGTTAGTCATACGATTCAGTCCCACCCAGCTGCCATCTAAGGTGTCCAAGCTGTCCTCGCCATCCGCAAAGTTGCAGGAGGGCCATAGGTCTGCCCGATTGCGTCCGCCTTGTCACTCCACAATGTGTGCGCAGCTGGAACGTTCGTTCCTCGTAAAAGAAAAGAAGGGCAAGCCAGGCACAGGAGGCAGCTGGTTGGCATCCGATCCCAACCGGTAATCAGCACCGCAGCTGTGCGGTTCCGAAGAACCCGTGGTTTCAAGATTCCGCCACCTGCTTTCTCTGAACGGTACTCAGCACCGCATCTGTGCTGAGTGAACTTCGAAGAAAGCTGCACGAACCGTTGTCTTGATGAATAACGCGTTCAGAGCTCCGTCAGAAAACTGAGGAACCACTGAACACTGGCTGCTTTCAATACTTGTCTATGCAGTTTCAATGCATTGAATTCATACGCACGGTAAGTGACGCTTTTTACGAAATAGTTTCGTCCTTTAAATACTGCTGACGTATTTGTGCAACCACGGAATCAGTGACGTAATCAAATTGCAGTTTTGGCCTGACCAGATGGCCATCTGCAAAGCAGATGCCCGTCACAGAAGCAGTTGGCTCCTGATTGCCGGTCTTGAGAGCCAATTTGCAGCTTGAAAGGCATGGCTGCTGCCTGTTTCGCCTTCTGCGCAGGTGATGGGTGATGGTGTCTCTCAACAACAAAAAGCAGCAATTCGCAATGAACCCAACCACAACTAACTCAATAGCAACACAACAACAACCATGGACACAGCACAAGAGATACAACAACCAATAACGATGGAAACTAACACTATGAATGCGGCAGGCACTAGAGATGATCAGTCTCAACAACATGACAGAATGGTAGAGCAATTCTCGTCGTCCTTGGCGTCGATTGCTTCATCGGCTCGTCAAGCGTTACACCATCAACAATCATCAGCTTCTTCGGATACATCCAGCAGTAACAACAGCAAGGAGGCAATGGTCGTGACGGCCACAGGCACAGAAGGGACGACAACTGGGACCAGCGCCAACAACAGCAACACTAGTGCAAACAACAGCAACAGTAGTAGCGGAAGTGGGAGTGGAGGGGATGATCGAGATTCCGGCGGGGACGGACAAGAGGGCGACAACAGTAACGATCAGAAGAAGAAGCCGGCAGCCAACAAACCACTCTCACTTGGTCTGCCACTTCCACCGCATCATGGAGCGGCTCACACACATTCTCATCATCACAATAGACGCAACAAGAGGGTATCGACCGGGGGTGATGACTATGGCTTGCCTCCCCTCAGGGTAGACGATGATACACGATGGCAAGCGAGCTCTCATCCAGCGGCGGCTGCGGGAGGCGGAGGAGGAAGTCATCACGCAACGGTCGTGGCGAGACTACCTCCTCCTGATTCCTCTTTCTCGAGTTCCGGCAACGAAGGCTCTAACCGAGGTCCAGCCTATCATGCCATCAAGCAGACGTTGCTCCAGAAGAGCAGCAGCAAGTCCAAGAGCAAGAAGAAGAAGAGCAAGACGGGTCTTACGGGTCCTTCCAAGAGCAGCAGCAGCAAGAAACCCGCAAACACCATCAAGACGACCTCGTCCTCCTCTTCCAAGAAGAAGAAGTCAAAGCAACAGCAGCAACCGGAGGCCATGTCCTCGGATTCGTCCAGGGAAACGACAGTTGTGCACCACAAGCGCCACCACCATGGCATGAAGCGACCGGCAGCTTCGTCTCCTGGCTCTGGCAGCGGAAACAGCCCTCCAGGAAGCAAGGAGTCGTCCTCTCAAAAGAACAAGAAGACCAAGAAGCTCAAGACCACTACGAGTAGTGGCGGCCCGGAAGCCAGTGCCTCGGCGGCTGCTTCTGCGTCCATGGCGCGGAAGAAGAGACCGCATCAGAGCCAGGAAGAGGGTCAAGCGGTGGCGTCATCCACCATGCCCACCGCAACGGAAGCGGAAGAAGACGAGAACTATGGAAGCAACTCCTCCTCGGGGAGTGGAACTGAAGCCGGATACGCTGGGTCGGCATCGTCCAACGAGAATCTTGCTCGCAAGAGCGGGGATCCTGGATCCTCCTCCAACAGCAACTCGAGTTCGGATATGCCTGACTTTTCGTCGGGAGCCTCCGAGAGCAATGCCGGATATGCCTTTGGCAGTTCCAACTCGCCGTCGCTATCCTCGTCCAATGGGGAAGATGACGAAGACGACGACAGCAGTGAAGACGATGGACGCCGAAAGGCTAAGTCTGCAGCCCCCTCGTCCTCCAAGTCACAGTGGCCACACCATGTCCGCCAATCGTCCTCGACGGTGCCAATGGATGAGCGCAAGATGCCCGCCAAGACGTCGATCAGTACCATGACTGCTTTAGCGTCGAGTACCGCTCAGTCGCAGTTTGCCAAGGTCTCACGATCATCGGCCGGTACTACTGCGGAGACTTCGACGGCTGTGGCAATCCGTGCCAAGGCCAGAAGCAGTCGACGAGCCAGCAGGGCGTTGTCACAAAATAGTAACAAGCCGCCCATTCTGACACTGGGATCTGATCTCATGGCTCATGTCTTGACCTTCTTGGAACCTCCAAACATTCTGAGGGTCCTGACCATGCCTCTGAGCAAGGATTGGCTATCTACCTTTGCCAATCAGCAAGAGCTCTGGAGGGTCTTGTGTCTCTTGGAGCCTTTCAAAGCCCAAGTAGAAGAAAACGACTTTTCTACTTCCTCGTCGTCCTCCTCTTCAGCCTCGAGTGCTATCAGCAGCGAAGACGAGGTCGGAGAAGACCCAGATGATGATGGATCTCTGTCAAGCTTCTCAGTGGTGGCACCTGCCAGCGCTAGCAGGAAAGCTTGGAAGGGTCCTGCAGCGCGAGCTGTTCGCCGGGATACTCCACCCACCAAGGTGGACACAAGCACAGTTGCGGCTGTCGCAAAACCCCTGAGCAGCCAAAAGAAGAAACAGGTCAAGCTGGGAAAGCTCGGACGTTACCGATTGCTCTACACTTCTTTCGTTCGTTGCATGAAGTACCTGGAACGCATGAAGGAAGATGTCTTGCATGGGCGACCGCCATCCATGATTGAATACGGTGGGTCCAGCCTACCCTCTACCGTCTCAAGGCAGGCGGCGATTGGATCCAATCGTTCCTTGCAGCAGTTCTTGGCAGGAGCCCGTCGGGTTGTCGAACAGCAGCAGCAACCTCCAGAAGTTGCGCTGGCGGCAAACAACAACGCCAATCGCGACGAGGGCAGCACTTTGTCGGAAGAAGAGCAGCCTCCTGCAGGAGCGCCTCTCGGCGTAGCAAGAATGCCCATTCTTAGCGCCGATGATGGCAGCAACTCGTATCAGTCTTCGGTGGAGCGACCAAGAAAGGTAAGGATCATCGTTGTTGTCACTTGCGTCTTGTGCTGAATGACGTTTCTAACCGTTAATTCCTCGACATTTTACAGCGAAAGAAGAGCCGAGATCAAAAGCGACGCAAGAGGCCCAAGTTTGGACGGTCCATGTTGACAGACCGCCTGTTGGCTCCGGCTCGAACTGGCGAAGTGAACCCCGAAAATGTCGCGTTGCCATGGAGTTGTGCTTTGTACAGCATTGTCAACTGGATGGTTGCTTTTGCCGATGTGGAAGGCATTCAGGTTATGTGCCTCAAGGTGTTGCCTCATCTGTTGGAAGACGAGCAGCAGCGCATCACAGCTCAGCGGGTTGGTCTGACGGATGTGATCCTGCGGGGTATGGTGCTCTTCCCGAACAGTGTTCAGCTCCATACGGCATCATTTCACACGTTGGTGCTTCTTGCTCGACCCCTTGGTGGGCGTGAGGGAATGCTCTTCCACTCGGCAATGGTCAATGCGGCTGGAATCTTCAGCGGTGGTGGCGAGGCCAACAACGGTAACAATGCACCAGTTGTGGCCGAGGAAGGCAACGAAGATGCTGAGCAAGAAGAACGAATGTTCAGCGGAGGTCCGCAGAACGACGGAAAAAATGGGATCGCTGTCATGCTGGATTCCATGAGGAAATTCGAAGATGATGAGGCACTTCAAGCCATGAGCTGCTGGTCCCTCGTGAACATTGCCTTGGCCCCGGTCCAAAAAGAGATGCTGGTCAAGCTGGGTGGTATCGAAGTTACCACGAACGCTATGATGCGACATCCTCACAGTGCTGAGGTACAGTTCCGTGCACTCTTCGCATTGATCAACTTGGTGATTCCATGTAAGTGCTGGTTGATAAATCATTTGATACCTCTCCATCCCAGGCGACATTGTTCTCAACTATCTTGCTCTCCTTGTCTTTTTGAACAGCCGTTAATGTTAGGGGCGAGGATGAGAACGACCAGGGCAATATCAATGAAGCCAACGACGGGATTGCCGAAGAATTGAACGTGATGGTTGACCAAATCACCAGTTTGGTGGTGCTGGCCATGAAGTACTTCTGTTCCAGCGAGGCCATCTTGAACCGCGCTTGCCTGGTGCTTCACAACCTTTCTTTGACTCAAGCATATCATTCGACTCTTCTGTGGACGCCCAATTGCTACCAGATGCTCGAGTGGTGCCTGGCTAATTACCGTACCGATCAAGTCCTGCAACAAAGTGCTGCTGGAACGTTGCACCGATTGCAGGTGACCCTTTCCAATGACGAGAACCTCCGAACTCGCTTTGCAGCTTCTATTCAGGCTCAGCAGCAACTCTCCTTAGAGGCTGCTCACAGAGAAGCTCTACATATCTACGAACAGCAAGAACAGTTGAGACAAGGCCGAGATGCAGCAGCGAGCAACGGTGGTGGTGCCGGTGCCCGGTGAGGTTGGCACCTGTAGCTGCCCACAATGAGTTAACGACACCGTTACCTGCTTGCGCCTCTCAAAAGTCGATGGAAGCAGCCGTCTCTTGCCGCCACAACAACCGAGTTGTATCTTCTACTTTTGCTCCACCGATTCGATTCATTCGATGTACGATTTCTTAAACGAAATGAAAACATTTGCAATAGGGACGACATTACATCTTGTACCCTGACATACATATCATACATCCATGGTCCTTTTGTCTAAATGCATTTGAGCCTCTTGAAGGCTTCGAAAACGCTACATGAATAAATAAATGCATCCTACATAACTCTAAAAAATGTTTGTCTATGATTGTCGCCATCCTGTAGCAGATCCTTAGACTCTGTTGTGCCCGACTCTCGTTGGGCTCCTGTAGATGCGACAATCGTTCACCAGAATCCACTGACGAACCGCGTTAGTCGCTACGAGGGAGTACCGTACCAGTACAGTGTACGATACCGGTTGCGTCATGATTGTCGTCATTGGTTGCCATGTCGCATGGCGTGGACCGTTGTATTGTTGCCAGTTGTTAGTTAGCGTGCTGACGTTGACACAAAGCCTTCGCTCTTGTGTTGGAACATAGTTCCAATGCCATCAACGAGGTCCTGCGCCTTGCCCTTTGCCTTTTCAATTCCTCGTCGACGTTCGCTTTCAAAAATGATGGGTGTTGCAACTTTATATATTTGGATGGACGGGTCGAGCGCAATGGCAATGCCTTCTTGAATCTTGACGGCGAGGCACGACGAGATGAAAGCTTGGTTGATGAGTACGTGGTGATCAGCAGCAGCTTGGCAGATGGTTGTTATGTACGTCCCAAGATTCTCCATGAGGTAGTCTTTACTTGTCGCCTTTTTGTTCATGGCTGCAATCTTGTCGATGAATAGTTCTTCATCAATGGCATGGTCCGCCGATTCCCGGAGTAGTCGGTTGGAGCTGTCAATCATGAGACGCCCTGCCATTCGTCCTTGACGTCGAATAAGGGCCGCCAAGATATCCACAAGATTCTCGTAGTCGTCATCGGAATACGCCGTTACGATACCAACGTCGAAGAGAACAATCTTTTTCCTTTTGGGGTCAATAAACACTAAAACCGACAACGTACGCATCCGTAAGAAAAAATGGCCCGTCCTGTGGTATTACGGTACGTTTGGAAGCAATGACAAGTTAGTAGTACGGTACTGGTACGTACCATTGCCTGGATGCAAGTCCCCATGCATAAAGTTGTGCAAAAAGATCATATTGCAAACCGACTCGATTGCGGCAAAGCACATTTCCGAGAGCAGTTCTTGGTTGTCCTTGTTTTCCTTGGCAAATTGAATGACGGGTATTCCTTCGCAAAATGTTTCAATCAGAACGTTTTTGGAAGGAGCATATCCGTCGACCAGTTTTGGAAACTCCACGTGCTCGGAATCGGCAAAATTTCGATTGAACTGTTCTAGATTGGCCGCTTCGACGCGACAGTCCAGTTGTAATTTGAGCAAATCGGCAAATTCTTCGACGGCGCCCTCTAAGTTGAGCCATTTGAGATTGGAGAAAACGTCCCATGGAAGTTTTTGCACGGCTCGTACAAAGAATCTCATCAGATCCAAATCGGCATCAATGTCAAACACGACATTGGGGTGCAAGACTTGTTTGATTGAAACAGAGCGTACCGTCGTTTGTGAGAATAGCAAAAAACCTCAACTGGTCATGACAAAAACCCACCTTTGACTGCCACGTCCATGGGGTTTCCATCTTGATCTAGCACTTGTCCCTTGTAGACTTGTCCAATGCAGCCACTCCCCAGAATACTTTTGTTTTTGTGTTTAATTTTGATTCTGTCTTGCCAGTTGTCGCCATATGCTTCTTGCAACATGCGTTCCGTGTGTCTCCAGGCATGTGGTGTAGTGCTATCTTGGAGTCTGGAAAAGACAGCACAAAAATCGTGTCCAAACATATCGGGTCGACTGCCGGCCCATTGCATGCACTTGATGACGGCAGCACCACTCCATTCGACGCATCCCAAACAGAGCTCCAAGTACCAACTGAGCGCCCCCCCGGATTGTATTTGTTGTTCACCGTGCAATGCCAATGCGTGGACATCCACTTTACTATTGTTTTCTTGGCTATGATTGTCATGATGAGAGCTTCCCAACAAGAGTCTCCGAAACGGATAGAGTGCCATGACGGGTGCCAACGTGCACATGAGTTTGGCGGCTCGCACCAACATGCGCAGGGCTCGTTGACAATAACGAATCCAACCTTGTTGCGCCAGATGTTGCTTGTGTGCTTTGGCCAATGCTCGTTTATAGACAAATGCCATGTTCGGGTCCACAATGCCACGCGTCGCCACCGTCTCTGCTTCTTCGCATTTGGCAGTGGTCGCCCTCAATGAGCCACCCACCAACAGAGCAGGCATCATCCAAGTGGAATTGATTCTTTCTGGAGCAGGAGTCGACAGGATGGGACTTTTGGGTCGGAGGACCGTGCGGGTGGAAAAGCGTTGTTTTTTCACCATCGAGGCAAACCCAGCTTTGGCCAACGATTGGCCTCGGGCCGACACCATTACGAGGCTGATTGTCATGGTGTATTTTTTTCTGAAAAAGTTGAAACAAAAACTTGCTAGTAGGCTGATTCGATTCGAGATGGCAGAGAGCCCAACAACCACGGGAATAAGAATTGCTGCTACGCCCTCAAAGGCATTCAATCAATGACGAAGAAACAAAATGTCGACCACTTGACCACTTCCATTCTACTTGAACTTTTTGATGAAGGTTGAAGAGGAAGAAAAGAAGCTCGAAGAAAGGGTTCTCGAAACGGGAGCTGCGGTCTCTCCTGGCGATGACGTGTCAGAAAGATAGGCGTGATTTGAAATTCGTGATTCGACTCGACTTCTTGGAAGTTCGAGAAAGCAATTGAAGAAAACCCAGTGACATGAAGGCTAGCACAGAAGCCACAGTCGAGGCGGAGACCTGTACATCTACATGTACATCTACAGCGACAGCTTGTCCCCATTTTCCACAATTCCAACCTTTCCTTTTTCTTTAGACGGTAGAGTGGCTCTGTTTACTCTGTGCCCTCCCGTCCCCACCGCCTCCTTTGCTCACCATTACCACTGAGGACACGATTCACCCGTACATGCACATGTATGTAGTTCCTTCTAACACATCATCGTACCGGTAGCATGTCTACGACGCCCAAAGCCAGTTCAATCCCCCCTAAAAGTGAAGCCCGACATGTTGGTAATAAGCCAGGCGAATCGCTATCCCTACCGGCAACGATACCGGCACCGGTAGCGGGACAAGAGGGCTGTGAGGAACAACAGTCCACACAGCCAGCACAGAAGCAGCCAGCAGAGTCAACAAACACAAACAAAGCCACCGTGGAGAGAAAGCAAGTTCCAAAGGAAGCAGATGTAGTTATCACAAGAGGGGAAATTCAAACAGTGCCACCTCGTTTGTATAGGGACCGTGCTTTATATAACACGCTTCCAGGGGCAGTGGCAATGCAAGGGATGAGGCAGCAACAAGCCGTAGCTGACTCTTCTTCTGAGTCCAAATCCGAGAGTTCAATGCATGACGACCACAGCAATCATGCAGTAGAATTGGTGGAAGCAGAGGCAGTGAATGATGTGGAGCACCATCGGGCTGTGGCTCATCCTTCAATGGATGGCACCCACAGAAGGCAAGCCATTACTCGGAAATATCAGTTTCGCTTTGCAGGTTTTGTGCTCTTCCTTTTGTTCGGTTGTGGGATCATTATTGGTTCTGTTTGTGGGGCAGGCTTATGTGGTAGCAGTGATTCCATTGAGTCCACAAAAACTGCCAGAGATATTCTCCAGGTGCCCCAAATGGAAATTGTCCTGACTACCATCCTGGGAAAGGACTACTTTGATGGAGTCGTGATATCTGGAGAAGGCTATCACAGCGACCTAACTGATTTCCTCAGGGAAAGTAGGCAGAAATCTTTTGACTGGATTGTCAATCAGGATCCACTGCAATTGGAATATGATGCTCCAAATTTATTTCAGAGATTCCTTCTCGTGCTTTTCTACCATCAAACCACAAGGCACAACCCATGGAAAGAGTGCAATCCACCAGTAACTTCTCAGGGGAGTACATCATTCAATTCCTGTTATGAACTGGAATATTTCTCAGGGGAAACAACCCACTACATCTGGGGGAATAAGTGGCTCTCTGTCAGTCATGAATGCCAGTGGGCTGGAGTCACTTGTGAGACTGGTCAAAGAGAAGAGCAAGAGGTTGTGGAACTGGAGCTTCGTAAGTTTCATCATCCAAAGGTGTGGATTGTGTCATTGATGTCTTACACATAGAAATGTATTCTTCAGGGTGGAATCAGCTCAATGGCCTTCTCCCATGGGAGATTACAAGATTGCCACAGCTAAAAAATCTTGATTTACATCACAATATGCTGACTGGAGTGATGCCCCAAAGGCTCTTTACCAACCAATCAGGCCTTGCCTTGGAGTCTCTCTCATTGGACGTTAACCAACTCTCAGGACCCATCCCTGCAAGATGGTTCGAAGAAACTGCAAAACTTACCAATCTTGATTCCTCTTCAAACAGACTGACTGGGAGAATTCCATCAGAACTGGGGCTACTCCCTATGAAGTATCTGAATTTTGGCAACAATTCACTGACAGGATCTCTGCCGGTGGAAGTGTTCTATCAGGACTCGCTTCAGTGGCTATTTTTGCACATCAATGATGTAAGTAGCTTAATGTTTGGTATGTCATGAACATCATGCCTGCTCCTGAAGCTAATGGCCTTCTATTTGCTTCTTGCCATCGCAAGCTTACTGGTACCCTGCCAACTGAAGTTGGATTGTTGGCCAACCTGGAATATCTTGACTTGAGCGGCAACAGTGTATCAGGATCCCTGCCTTCAGAGATTGGTCTGGCAAGCCAATTGCAAAATATTCAGGTTTCCTACACCAACATGCAAGGGACGCTCCCTGAAGAATTGTATGGAATCAGCATTCTTAGGCAGTTGGTGTTGGACAGTTGCAACTTTTCTGGGACCATCAGTTCATCGGTTGGTCTTTTGACAGACCTTGTGCAACTGGGCCTATCCAGTAACAAGTTCCATGGCACAATCCCCAATGAGATTAACTCGCTGACAAATCTGGCTCTATTGCGGGTGAATGAGAATGAGCTGACAGGCACTGTTCCAGAGTCTGTTTGCCACCATGTATATCTTTTTCGTGGTGACAGTTATCATAAAGTTGCATTGGAGGCTGACTGTTTGCCAAGCACAGAAACTGGAGTCCCCACAATTGAGTGTGCTGTTGATTGCTGTACCTTGTGTTGTGACAATACAGGGTATTGCCTTGCCAATTGATTCACTCCCGCCTAAGCTACTGCCAGCTAGCAACTTGCTAGCTGGGCTCCGGTAATACTGAGTATGTCATACAGTAATGGAAAGTCGATTCTGGAAGACCTCATCGGTCTTCTCGGAGGATTGTGGTCTTCCAGCTGCTTGGAGATCGACTCGCTTTCTAACTGTCGTGAGTCATGACAGTACTCAATTGATCTTATCAAAGTGGATGACGTCGACATCCTGTGTAAGAAATTGTTTCATACGATTTTAGCAAAAAGTGACTGAATTAAGTAGTTTTACTCTTGATCAGCACAAACTGCCGAATCGCCAAAACACAGGCTTTACTCTGTGGTAACTTTTCGGTTGTTTGACTTTTTCATCCCCCTTGGGAATCATCAGTGCTTGGGCTATTGTGGTACTTATGAAATCGAGGTTTATGTGGGCATGCTCAGTAAGAAATTGTTTCTGTCACGGTACATTGGAAAGTCTCGCGCGCGCGCGAGAACTGCCAAACTTCACGCGGAGAACACTACATACAGTACACGTACGAACTCTGTGGTTGAGTGGCTGTGAGTGGAGTCGTAGAGTCTTTGTTGTTGCTGCAGCAGCAGCGAGCTCAACGGCACCAGGAGTGTGTGCTCCTGTACCAGAATACGATTCATTCAATGCAGGCTCTACAGTAACTAGGGAGAGTGACAACCGAATCTCCGTCGGTGCGTTTACTTTCGAGCAACAAGCACAGCAGATAACATTATGTCGACAACAACAAAGACAGAAACCCCATGTCTCCTCCTCCACCGAAGAAAGCTAAAGGTGACACTAATGATGCCACAACGACGTTGGCGGCGGCACCACCAAACGGTGCTGCTAGTTCCGCGACTGCCGATGTTGCTGGTCTCTTGGTGGCACTTGAGAATCCTGAAGTGATAGCGTCGCTTGGAAAGAAGCTTGGAAAGAAATTTGTTTCCAGAGAAGAGCACGAGGAGCTCAAAGCCCGCCTTGATAAGATCGCCGGAGTTTTTGAGCCATCGACTCAATTCGCTCTGTTTGAAACTGCAATCTATGAATTCGTTCGTTCGGATATTGAGAAGTTGTTTTCTGCGGAAGAGGAACAGGAAAAAGCCAAGCATGCCCTAGCAGTTCTCTGTGATGACATTGTAAAGCAGCTGGTGGTTGATCCTGCGACGAAGAAGGGATTTTCTTTCGTCGGATTTTCTTCTCGCCGAAGACGCAACGAAAAAGTGACACGAAAGGAGTGGAAACCATCTGTTTTGCGAGCGCTTCATGGATTGGCGGCATACATCGAAATCGAACAGGAAAGCACTCTAAAGAAGTGGGCTACTAATTCAGGACAGCGGAACCTGGTGACCCATGACGGCGCTTTCGTAGATGCACTTTACCTAACTGCAGACGGAAAGACAAAAGCAAGTGTCTTTACGGAAACAAAGGAAAAGGTCAAGAAACACCGACGAATTTTGAAGGAAAAGTCCCGGGAAGATCCCAGCTGCGCCACCTTGGATGGTGCCCTGGAGGACATTGTCAAGGCGCTTGTCTCGAAGAAAGTGGAGGTTGGCGAAGCGGCGAAAGCGAGCGTTGTGCACGAGCTCAAACGATTGGTTGGAGACACGGTTGCCAAACGAGAAGATTGAACGAGACGAAATCGGAAAATTGGGAGACTGAGAGCTTTATGTGTACGGTCAAATTGGGGGGACGACAAACGAAAAAAGTCCAAAATAATCGATGTGTAGTGGTGTTAGCTTATATGAATAGCAGACCCAAGAACTAAATTGTCATTAGATATCCTTCATTGTCATCTTCGACATACGTACTCAGTCCAGCGGGGTTACCCGCTGGACCGTTTGGCCTGGTGGGTGGCTTGGAAGGAATATCTTATCTGGCGGTTGTAGTGTACGAATGTGCGCAATGCATGAAGAGGTACCTTCAGGACAACACAAAGTGTAGCGGCTGTGGTCAGGACTTCTGCTCTCGATGCAGCACTTGGTGGAATGACAACAGTGGGTTGGAAGTTTGTTACTCCTGCAGGGAGGGATGATTGCCGGAGTGGTGCCATGAACGGGTTGGTCTACGATGATGATCGGCAAGTGGTGAAGTTGACCGCGACTAAGGTCTCCGATGATAGAGGTACACGTGAAGGACGGACGGTGGTGCAAGTGAGTTCGATGAAAGGTGAATCCGAGACTGTCTCATAGATTGCAAACATGCTAACTTACTTAAAAATAAACTCCGAACAAAGTTTGGAATGGGTTGATGACCCGCAAGATCTCCAGACCTTCATTGTAGTTATTGCTGTGACGGAACATGAATTCGGTAATAGCACTTATCTCCTATCTAACAACAAGGTACAAACGGTAACATCTAAATTTAACACATTGGGAATATCTACTGTGAGAGTCATGTCACAGTTCGACATTAAGACCGAGACTGGGTTTGTGAGCCTCGAAGGGGGGATGTCTGTGATTGGGTTGAATGCTTTGCGAGCCTTTCTCGACGCGAAACGCAAACGGCCATTCATGTACGCAGACTTGAAGCGAGTCTCGGATGCTGCTGAAGTCACGAGGCTGGTAGAGCAACAAGAAGGAGAAGAGGAAGAAACAGAGAGTCTTGGTTGTCCTAGTTTTTAATTAATTAAGACTGCCTAACTCGACACCATTGTTTTCCATCGAGAGTTCTTCTCGGAACTCATTCACTAATGGGCGGATATGATCCTCGGAAAGCGGAACGTACTCGAACTCAGAGGGTGTCGTGGCGTCTTCGTGGTTTAGGATGAAGACACCCTTGATGTATGGGTTCAGGGTGTGGGACTCACATGAAGTACATGCAGTGAGTACGCGATGTGAGTACATGTACTGAGTACTGAGTATACTCAGTACATGTACTCACATGATATCCGAAATCGTGAGTACTACTCAGTACATGTACTCACTTACCTCCAGATTCTGAGTACTTTGTGAGTATTCGGTGGGTACTCAATGAGTACTTTCGATCAGTACTCACCTAGTACTATGAGTACTGAATGGGTACTTTGTGAGTGCTCGGTGGGTACTTTCTCACCGCGAAACAGCCAAAAGATCATTATTTTCTCACTTTGGGCTGGAGAAGAGGAAGAAACATGCAGGTATCGCGCGAAGCGCGAAGTATCGTCCCGGGGGAGAGGAGGAGGGGGCCGCGCAGCGGCCTAGTAACAAAGAGGGGAAGAGGAGGGGGGACTCAGGAATTCCCACAACAACAACAACAAAGATCAACAACACCTCGAAACGCGAAGACCTCGGGAGATGATACGAGCTATAGCAATAGCAGAGATATTAGTAGCAATAGCAGTAAGTGATGTTGTTGATTGCCATTGTTGTTTTTATCATCATGGTCGCGTTGTTTTTGTTGTTGTTGTTGTTTTTCTTGTGTTTGTTGGCGCTTTTGGGGTGGACGACTGATACTTCCGAACGTTCATGTTAAGTAATTGAGTGGCGGTTGCTAAATCTTTCTTCGTTTCTCACTGTTTCCTAGGTAATCGCAAATCCCGCATGGAAGCAATCGGAACCTCCCAGAAATTGTGAGAAGATTCGTTAAATTGTGAGATGACCAACGGATACTCGGGACTACGCTGGTGACACTCGTGTTTTACCACAAGCCACTATTTTCATTTTCAGCATAATCGTGGAAACACTCTCAATGACAAAGGAGTAAAAAGGTGCCGGTAACATGGCCGCCACCGCTGATTGGACGCGCAACAATTCAGGAGGGCATCGCCCAAACCCAAGCGAACAGCCTGCTATCCAGCTATTTGACAAAGTAATGGACCCATTGAAGTTTGAATCGATAACTGTGCAGGATTTGGAAGGTGACCATGGCCTCAACGTGCTGAGTGATTTTTGCACACGCATCGGTCAAGATCCCCCGGTTGGTCAGAGAACGAACAAGCCAATGGCTGCGTCAGCGCTATGCAAATACATTGAGGCATTATGTAAGACACTTCGGACCAAGTACGGCCGGTCCCCAGAGTTTTTGAAGTTTCCTTTGTTTCCACCTTCAGATGTCGACGGTCTCAAAAAGACGTTCACTGATACACACGGCCGGACGCTCATGCAGGGAACGGACGATGATGCCATCCTGCGCGACTACTACCCCATCCCACGCCAGCATTCCCCTAGGACGAAGCTTCTTCCGCTTCACAATTTTTCCAACCCACAACAACAAGAACTGTCGAGGAGTGTTGATCTACTCCGCCTCGCCACCAGACTACTGCAGAGACAATGAATTACGGAGCTACTCATGGTCCTGATTACCAACAATGCGGTAGGAAGAGGTGGAGAGTGCAAGTTTCTGAGTTATGACAAGATGTTTTGGGATTGCTACTTTAACATGCTGTTCTTCCAGTGGTTCCAGTGCAAGGAGCTCAAGACAAGTCCAGCGGCGTTTGTTCAGGACTTTGAGCATCCGGAGCTCTGTGTTTTGTTTGTGTTTGGCCTATTTTGGTCATTGGAGAGTGGATTGGTCCGCCCAGCGCCAATGATGGCATCACCTGGCAGTGCTCTCTACCGACGGTCCAAGTTTGTGTTTCAACACCTCCATCAGATACAGGATGGAGGGGTCGCGGAGTCACAGACCAAGATCATCCGGTCCTGCGTGCATCACCTCATCCAATCGCACTACACAGTGAAGAGTCTCCGTGCTGGAGCCATGTCGATGCTTGCCTGGCTACCTAGTGTCACTTATGAAGAGTGCATTGCGTTGGGTGGTTGGAGCACCAAAGCCAGCCGAGATTGGTATGTGTGGCAGTACTTGGTGGCTGTCATTCCAGGAGCTCTGGCTTTGGCCGGATATCCAGATCCTCGCCAATTGCCATATGCACCAACCTGTGAGATTCTTTTTCACGATGGCAACCAAGAGAAGATTTTCCCAAGGGACAAGTTTGCCATTTTCCAGCGTGATCTGTTTCCGAACAGTCTTTGCGACAATACCATTGTGCATTGACTAGTCTAAGGATCTAAGAGATGTAAAGTTTGTATTTCCAAATAAGTGAGCAGTTATTGATTATTTTCTAGAATAAGCCTGCTAATTGTAAAGCTGTAAAGCTGAATTGTAAGCTGTATCCCGTCGCACTCCCTTACAGCTGAAATGAAGCTGGAGCAAGAAACGATAGGAGAGAGTCCCCAGCAAAGTGCTGAGGTAAACTACCATCCCATGAGGAGCTTCCGAATGACAGCAAACTGTGGAGCCGGAAGACCCTTAGTGAAAATGTCGGCCCGTTGTTCCAGAGTCGGAATATACTTAGCCACGATGCCCTTCGACTCACATGGCTTATTGAGACAGTTTCTCTTCAGAAGGTCACCACTCTAGAGTGGGACCAACATTGTGCATCTTCAACGATTCGAGACCTCTTTTGATGAGAGACACTCCACCGTCCCTTAGAGACGAGTGGCTTACTCAGGAGAAAAGGCCATCAACAGCACCGATCTCATCTTCTAGAGCTTCGACAAGGGAGAAAGTTATGGCAGGTTGACAAGAGCAAAGATAATAGGGATGATTTCATTTTAAGCTCCGTCTCCAGCACATCCCCAGTTTCACACAGGGAGATTCACAGATTGTCTCCCACCACTTCAGACTCAAAATTTACCCTCCTCTTGGGACAGGGAGCCTCCACCCATCAGCACTCCCACCCACTGATGTCCACATACGAGCCAAATCTCTGCCCCCGTCGTAATCCCAGTAAGAACAGCCACAGCAAGAAGCTGAGGCTCTGAACATGACCCAAAGGTTGAAGACATATGCGCGTCCTCTCTCCCTGTTGAGTTGTGCTTAGCTTTGACCTTTGGAGGTTACTCCTATTTCTGGGCACATGATGCAATCTCAAGTGTAAATGGTTATTCAACTTGAACAACACCCAGGAATCATTTCATCCTGGCATCTTCAAAGCCCCTAGCTCTCAAAGGCCAAAGATTTCCAAAGACCTGAATCCTCCCCTCTCTGAGAAATCTCTGATGGGCACATCAAGACCATTTCTGTGCAGCTCATATGGCATATGTAAATTGCACAGCTTTGAAGGCAAAGGGACTTGGCATCTCGTACAGCTTCTTCTAGCCCTCAAACCTAAAGGCGGTTACTGGAACAATAGGAGGTTGCAACGAATGTAAGAGGTTACCAGACGGACAATTAAATAGTTCAAATCTAGAATGGTGCTGCAGAGGAGACTTCGTCCTATGAAGGCGTCGCGTACTCTCCACTGTTGTGTTGGCCCACCGTTAAGCCTGTGTCTTCTTCTGCAGCTGCATATGGATGGGAATCGAGACAAGTTGTTTTACTCTTGCTTTCTGTCAAAGCCTCAGCCTGTCGACCAGCCATGTACATGGAATTGCCTCAGTACTATCGACCCAAAGAATATGAAGGACAGGACTGTGTTTTGAAACTTGACAAGTCCATCTATTGGCAGACCGATTCACCTAAATTATTTATGAGCATCTATGTCGCGGGATGATCCAACTTGGTTTCGAAACCTCGGCAGCGACCCATGTTTGTTTATTCTAAGGGGATAAGTAGCATCAACTCATGGTATTAAATATTGTGATGACCAAATCTGGCTCAGTCCAGACAATGATCTGATTGAGTCCTATGTTGGGAGCTCCAGAAACTTGGATATGACCTCACCATGGAAGAAAAAGGTGACATCTTTGGATTCCTCGGCATTAATTTTGAAAGACAGGGAGACAATGTTGGCTTACTCAAAAGGGCTCATCAATAAGTCATCGAATATACTGGTATTCTGACGCTAGCAAGAAGCTTTCTCCTGCCGCACCGATCCTCTCGGAGTGAAAACTGGGGGCCCCATTTGAAGAAGAGTGGAGCTATCCAGCTGCAGTTGGGATGCTTCTTTATTTGCGTCGAACACTCGCCCAGACATCACATTTAGTGTGCACCAGGTGGCACGATTCAGTCACAATCCCAGGCATTCCCATGCTCAAGCAATCAAACGTATCATTCGGTATCTGATTGGCACAAGTGACAAAGGCATTTGTTTTAGCCCTAAACTTGATCAGGACTTGACTGTTGGGTCGATGCTGACTTCGCCGGATTGTATGGATATGAGGATGAACAGGATCCTGTGTCCGTCAAGTCTCGCACTGGATTTGTCCTGTACTCTGTTTGGGTGCCCTATTATCTGGTCCAGCAAGCTACAGACTGATATTACTTTGAGCTCCACTGCTGCTGAGTATGTTGCCTTCAGCATGTCAATGAGGGAGCTGCTTCCTATGCGAGCTTTGCTCAAAGAAATTGGTAGCAAACTGAATATGCCGGTAATTACTGACAGTCTCGTGCGCTCTACAGTGTTCGAAGACAACCAAGGTTGCCTGTCTCTTGTGAATGTTCCCAAAATGTCTGCGCGCAACAAGTATTTGGCATTGAAGTACCACTTCTTCAGGTCCAATATCGGGCTGAACTACGAAATATACATATCGACATAT